CTCGAGGTACTTCCCAGAATGCCCACAATAAATACACAACTGTTATTCAACGCTCAACTATCCCAAAAAGTTTCTATAATGTGGCACAGACCGCACATCACAGCACCTGATTGGTGGAGAGGGGACAGAGTGATGAAGCCAAGTATGATATGGGGAGGGTTAGGAGGCCATGACGGACAGAGGGCAGTGGGCAGATTTGATAACCCTACTCTTTTTCGAAGGACATCCTGGGGTTTTTAAAGAGCACGTAGAGTCAGAACCTCAGTTTAGCATCTCATCCGAAAGACAGCACTTATTGAGCAGTATAGAGTCCCCGTCACTATACTGGGGCATTAGAACCCACACAGACTGCAGGTTGGGCGCCCCCTGCTGACCTCACTAACACCACTTCTGGCAGCATCCCAGCTTTCCCATGTGGTCTCCCATATAGGTACTGACCAGGCTCAGTACCTATATAGCTTCAGTGGGCGACCATGTGCGAGCGAGCTGCCGAAATGGATTAATTTCTCACTATACTGCTCTATCTTTGTTTTGGAAGAATCCCCCCTTCCACCCCATCTCCTCCTTTTCCTCCCTTTTCCAAGGGGGAGCTCTCGAGATCAGATCTCGGATCTTCTGATATGCCAGCCTGATCTCATGAGGAAGCGTAAGCATTTTACGTTTTGCCAGTTTAGTGGCTAATTCGTACAAATTCGTATGAGATCAGTCGTACGAAATTCTATGATTTTAAAAAGGAGGCGTGGCACCTAACCCCACCCCTAAACCCAACTGTCATTGGGGGATGAGCAAGTCGTACTAATTTGTACGAATTAGATCGTACGAATTCATACGAATTAGCCACTAAATCGAAAAAGTTACGAATTGCCGTGAGATTGTGTTGGATATGCTTATTGACCGGGCGGGAGCCCTGGGCTCAAATATCTCCAAGCTCAGGGTTCTCTGCCAAACCTGCAATAAATGTTCAGCATATCTAAGTGGGAACACTTGAAACAGCAATTTTCACGTCACCAACAATTCCTCAAATTCAAATTATATAAAATATATAAACATGAAACATTATCTGCAGGCAAAACCCTATGTGTAGTAATTATCCAATTTATGATTGACCAATCAGACGATTCCTAAGCCACTATAAATACCCTCAGCTCTTTAAAGAATCCCCCCGTCCACCCCTACTCCCCCTCCTTTCCTAGATGGGTGGCACGGTGCCCCAGTGGTGAGCACTGTTGCCTCACAGCAAGAATGTCACTGGTTCTAGTCCTTACCAAGCCAGCCGACGTTTCTGTATGGAGTTTACACGTTCTCCTCGTGCTCACGTGGGTTTGGGTCCGGGTTCCTCCCACCGTCCAGAAACATGCAGCTTAAGTTACAGTTTTTCTCAGTGGCTTCGGTGCATTTCTCACAACACTATTTACATTTGCACAACAGTTCATGCATTTCTCAAAACAATTAGTCATTTGTGCACATCACAGTAGCAGTTTCTCATTCCTTCCAACACATTGCAAATGCTTTAAGACATGCATCAACTGCTTTCACACAACTCTCTGCTGTTTATAACATTATCATCTGCTTATGTCACGTCAGTCTAAACTTGTGAACGCTGAATAGTCATTCCATATGAAACTAGTAGTCCTCATTTCATTACTGGAGTCATTACATACACAAATGTTGAACTAGTGTCAAAATCTGTCATGCTAACTTTATTAAAAAAATGTCAATCTTTATTTTCCCGAAAATGTCTTCTAAATTCAGTTTGATGAAGGATTTAGAGAGCTGTGTGTGCTGTAGGTTCAGTTCTAATATGTTCTGCAATGTTGTTTGCAGTTGTGCACAGCTCTACCCCAAAGGAAGCTTATGTTTGTTGTAAATGAGGGTGTGTTTATTATTTATAAAGAAAATTAATAAATGAATGAATAAACACTTTTTCTTTGTTATTAGCAAATGAATGTGCAGGTAATCCCTCTTGATGTCCTGTGTATTTGATTATAAAATATAAACCATTTAATTTTGATCTCACCAATAAGTTGGTTTCAATGTTTCAAACTGCATAGAGAAGAGTTTAGTTCATCCCAAAAATGTTATAAGAATTGATTTTGATGCTATATATTTCTGCATTTGATTTAATGCAACTTTATGATGAAATCATGGGTTTGCAGTTTTTACAAATAAATACATTACACACAGGAACTGCAGGAGCAATTATATTAGAAGAAGATCAGAGAGAGAGGGACAGAGTTTAAGGTCTGGAACTGCTAAAGTGGATGGTTTTTCATAATGTGCCTCTAATTATGCTTTAATTTTGGTTGTATTGATCTAATACAGTAAGAGCAACAGACGCACAGCAAACAGACTGAGACGTACGAGACAGTAATACTGCATGGTGGTCTTTCAGACCATATGCTTTCATGATCCTCCCTCTAAATACCACATAATTAACTACAATTGCACGAAAACTAGAGCCAGTCAGTAACGGGATAAACTCGTGAAGAAAACAGGTGAAAACCGCCATTAAACACTTCATTCACACTCAAATACAGCAATCTGTTTCACATCCACTAAACCAAATACATATGCTCAGAAAAGAGCCTGACTCCGCATCTGAAAGCAAAAGCATCAGGCAGATGAGAGCTATAGTGATCACACCATCTAAAGAACCATCGCATTCATTTTCATTTAGGCACTTATGAAGTGATTATGTCGGCTTTAAAAACCTAGTTATTCCAACATCTTACAGGAACAGTTCACACTAAAGTGTGCATTCTGCCACCATTCCAGCCCCTGTCACTTACACACGGCTGAGTTGCTTTTTCAGTTGAACACTGCACTCAAAAAAATATTGTTATACAAAACAAAACAAATTGAGCTTGCATTAATATATTCAAGTTATGAAAACATATAACAAAATGAAGTTCAGACAACAAACTTTTTCATGTTAGCCGAATCTTTTCCTTTTCAGTCAGAGGCAATTTTACATAGCAAAAACCTCAAAGTTTTAAGTTGAGTGCTCAAAAAAATAAGTTGTTTCAATTTTTTTTATTAAAATTGAAAACAGATCCTGTGTTATGTACTTAATTGCATGCATATTTTTAAGTTTAGAACCTCAAATAAATTAATACATTTTTGTTTGTTTTCAAATGTATTGTTCATGCTTGTAAGAAATACATTTAACATTTTTGTTTTTTTGTAATTTTTTTTTTGTGTTAAACCACAGGTTTATTTTTTTTACAAAACAAAAACATGTACCGTCCCATATTATCAGTATAAAAAATAATAAAAAACATCAGAGTGTGGATTTAAAAATACAAAACAACTCCATTAGTGTGGAAACATTAGTTTGGGTTGCTACAAGTTAAATAATGTTTTAAAGTAACTGACAGATGTATTTACCTTTAAATTAGCCGCATTTTTAAATTTATGTAATTATCAATATTTTCATGTTTTGAAAGCTTAATAAAATTATTCTGGCAGCTTAAAAGTTTTCATCTAATCAGCATTTTGGAATTTTTAAGTTACAATAATGTATTAAACTATGTAGTGGTTACAGACCTCTTGAGTTATTTTTTAGAGTGTACAGAAGATTTTTATGTTTGGAAACCAATTTGCATGCAAGAAGGTTAGGTTAGATTACTTCATTCATTCATTCATTTTCTTGTCGGCTTAGTCCCTTTATTATTCCGAGGTCGCCACAGCGGAATGAACCACCAACTTACCTAGCACGTTTTTACGCAGCAGATGCCCTTCCAGCCGCAACCCATTACTGGGAAACATCCACACACACATTCACACACACACTCATACACTACACACAATTTAGCCTACCCAATTCACCTGTACGGCATGTCTATATGGACTGTGGGGGAAACCGGTGGCACCCGGAGGTAACCCACGCGAACGCAGGGAGAACATGCAAACTCCACACAGAAACGCCAACTGAGCCGAGGCTCGAACCAGCAACCTTCTTGCTGTGAGGTGACAGCACTACCTACTGCACCACTGCTCCGCCTAGATCACTTCATTTGTACCAAAACAAAAAAGTCCAGAGCCCTCGTTCATGACACAATACTCACACACATATGATAACAACAACAGCAACCGACACCATAAAAACTTAAAACACAGAACACAAATCTTCATGTGTCCAGTCCTCTCGCGAAAAAAAAATGATAAAACAAACAGCACAGCAAAAAAACTAAACTATGATTATTAAAATGAAGTTGCATAGCGTTTATGTTTACTTACTGTGCGTGAACTAATGTTAAGCAGCACACTTCATTGATGCTGAACTATGATGAATAAATGTTACCAATCACCCAAATGTCTAATTATTATAAACCAAAATCCAGCAGAGGATGAATAGTTGTGTAAAACTGTCAGGAGCATCAGCACAGTGCAGTATTGATTATTAGGGTGCATATACAGTTAAATATTAGCCCGGTGAAATATTTATTCTGTTTAAAATATTTTTAAATGATATTAAATGGAGCAAGGACATTTTTAAAATATTTCTGATGATATTTCTTCTTCCAGCGAAAGTCTGATTTGTTTTCTGTTAGCTGGAATAAAAGCATTTTAAACCATATTGAGGTCAATATTAGTAGCCCGCTTAAGCAATTTTTTTTTCTCAATTATCCACAGTATAAACCACTGCTATACAATGACTTGCCTAATTATCTTGTCTAATTAACCCAATAAATTGCATTTAAACTAAATACTAATATCTTGAAAAATAACTAAAATTTTTGTGCTGTCATCATAGCAAAGATTGAATAAATCAGTTGTTAGAGATGAGTTATTAAAACTATTATGATTAGAAATGTTGAACAATCTTCTCTCAGTAGACTGTCAAAGCAGCTTAACATGGATTGAAACCGCTTCAGTTTAGTTGAAGTTCAGTTCAATGTACTGTAACACTAAAGAGGGCACAGCACATTGTCTGAATGTTATTGTTTGCACACAGAGAAGGGAATAGAGAACAGCCCGTAGAGAGGCGCGTGTCTGACCTGCAGGTGTCTGAAGGCCGCGGTGATCTGCGTGATGTGCAGCGTCAGGCAGCGGGACACGCAGCGCGCGCTCTCCATCTTCTCCAAACTCTCCGCTTCTTCAGTCCTGCGCGCAACGCTCACCTCAAACACACAGCAGAGCAGAAAACAGCAGAGATTCCTCAAAAGCAGCATCTTTGCGGATGTTCGCGTGAATGCGTGTGGATCCAAGCGATGCATGAGGCTGAATGCACTGCGTGCGCGCGCTGGAGACTCGGACACTCCCTCTCGCGCGCAAACCTGACATCTGAACTCCACACATCCACTCTCTGTCTGTGTGTCTGTCTGTCTGTCTTCTCCGCATTTACACCAATAAAACAACTTAAACCGTGTTGGTTCCTCATAGAAGCTATAGATAATCGCTAAATTGCGTCATTGAAATAAACAAAGCTGTCAACACGCGGACTCACCAGAGTAGCGTCTCTCTTATTAAATTATATATATATATATATAATTTATTTATTTTTATTTTTTTTCAGAGATGGGTTGCAGCTGGGAGGGCATCCGCTGAATAAAAACGTGCTGGATAAGTTGGCGATTCATTCCTCTGTGGTGACTCCAGATTAATAAGGGACTAAGCCAACAAGAAAATGTAATTATATATAAAATATATGTTATATGGCTGTATATCGGCACTCCAACGCATGCCTGCTACTCGTGTGATATTGCTCATATATATATATATATATATATATATATATATATATATATATATATATATATATATATATATAAGCATAGCAAAACTGTTGTTTTTATAAAGTTAATCGCAAAAATAGAATAATATCAAAACTATTTTGTAAAACCCATGAATATAATATGAAAGCCCTGCCAGAATCTAATTATAAATACTATAATTCTGATAGTAGGTTCTGATAAACTGTTATTAAACAGTTTACTATTAATAACATGCTGATTCAGTTAGATAGCGTTGAAAATACAGTATAATACAATTTTATATGAAATGTTTCAAAGAAATGACTATAAATAAGCATTGTATTTAGTGTATCCACATATTTTTTCTAGTGGCAAAACTTCAGATATCTGTGGTATATTTAATGTTTGCTTCAGCAAACTGTAGGTTTAGTGTCGTATACTCTATATAATTGTAAAAAACTACAGTGTTGGGTAGTTTATGTATATAGTTGCTGCATTATCATAGCAATTACAGAATTACTACAACACATTAATTAAAGTTATTCACTATAAGTAAAAAACACGGCACATAACAGCATTTACTCTAAGTTACTATAGTATTTTTTCCATATGGATTCTTTCCAGCTGTTTAAGGCAAGTCTGTTTTATCTCTCATTGAATCATGACAAGTGAACAGTTTGGCAGTTTGGGAATTTGACCATTCGGAATATAAATTCATAAATATAACTGCAAAAAATAAAATGATTATGTAAATAATAATCAGCATAACAAAATCTAAATTCAATCTGTTTTATTTACCCCCCATGTGTATCTGTGCATCCACAGTTCTGTTTTCACAGGCATCTGTTGATCAAACTTTGCTGCTTTGCAGCAGCGCCACCGTGTGGCAGAGTGACACCACCACTGAGAAAATGAGGAATGAATCTTATCGCTCGCTTTAGGCGCGATAGTGGAAACGCAATAGGGGAGAGGACACAACCCTGAGTGGCGTTAGATTATGGTAACTGTAAATTGACATACCTGCAAAATAATTTAGAGCTGGGTATTAACAGATTATATATAATCTATTTTATAAAATATGATTCCAAATTAAATCCATAATCCATAATTAGAGTAAACCTCTTTTTAAAATACGTGTAATCAGACTACAGTTGGTAACATAATTGCATATTATTTATTCAATGGCAAAATGTTGTTCACAATTTATTAATTCCTCTTATTTTTCCTCTTTTTAATATGATTATTTTACCTCATAATAAACCTGCTGCTTATGCATAAACATCATGTTTGAGATTCTTCACTTTGTTTTGTTTTTCATTGATACTGCCATCAGTTTTTACATGAACTATCTGATGTTGCAGTCATTTAGCTGTCAATTTCATGTTTTAATATATATATATATATATATATATATATATATATATATATATATATATATATATATATATATTTTTTTTTTGCAATTAGTTGTTTTCTAAATCTGTTTAATTGTAAATAAATATTTTACAATTGGAATTTAGTTTTATAAAGCCAGGAAGAGTGTATGTATTGTGAATTAATTGTCCATCATTGCACTTTAAAAAGAAGCTGTTGAGGCTCTTGCTACTAAAGAAAAAAACAATTATAAATAAAAAAATTGTACTTCAGATAAACAAGTTTTTCCCATGTTAATATATATAAATATATATACAGCTGAAGCCAGAATTATTAGCCCCCCTGAATTATTAGACCGCTTGTTTATTTCTGTGTAGCGGAGAGCAGATTTCACCAACACATGTCTAATCATAACAGTGTTAATAACTCATCTCTAATACCTGATTTATTTTCATGATGACAGTAAATAATATTAGACTAGATATTCTTCAAGACACTTCTATACAGCTTAAAGTGACATGTAAAGGCTTCACTAGGGTAATTAGGGTAACTAGGCAGGTTAGGGTAATTAGGCAAGTTATTGTATAACGATGGTTTGTTCTGTAGACTATCCAAAACAAATATAGCTTAAAGGGGCGAATAATATTGAGCTTAAAATGCTGTTTAAACAATTAAAAACTGCTTTTATTCTAGCCCAAATAAAACAAATAAGACTTTCTCCAGAAGAACAAACATTATCAGACACACTGTGAACATTTCCTCAATCTGTTCTACATCATTTGGAGAATATTTAACAAAGAAATAAAATTCAAAGGGGGTGAATAATTCTGACTTTAGCTGTATGTGTGTCAAAATAGTACAGGATTCTGATTCTGTGTTTGTGACATCAAATAAGGGTGTGCACAAACGTAATCTACCAGAAATGTGTAATCTAAAAGACTATACTACTGTCTACATATTTTGAGATGTAATTTGTAATCAGTAACTTAATGTAATGTAGCCATGCTGCTTATAGTTAATAGAATATCTGTTGGTGGAGCATCTAAACAAAGTGTTATCAGATATTTAGCAGTCTTCTAATACTCTGTATCAAGTTATTATAGTTAACGAAACAAACGAAAAACTAAAACTAAAATGTAAAGTAATTGTCGTTAACTGAAATAAAAATAAAACGTTTTTTAAAAACTAACTGAAATTGTGTACATACAAAACTAACTGAAACGGACTACAATTATAGCAAAAACCTCCTTAGTTTTCGTATTTGTAACTGTGTTTAATACAATATCTTACTGTAAGCCTTTTAGAAGTAAACATAACTCCCGCTGCAGGTGTTTGTGTTTGACCCTTTCGCATCTCAGTGTCTCCTGCAGCCATTGTCCAGATCGAGCCGGTTCTCCTCCAGTCATCCTCGCTGTTGCTCCCGCGACAAAAACAACGCGTGGACATGACAGCAGCACGGTGACAGCATTAAACACAGACACTTTAAACTACTTTAACACGTTTGTGCCCAATAATGGGTTTTATTTTTGTATCGCGATCGCGAACGAATCTTTTTGACCGGATCTTCTAAGTGAACCGGTTGCACTAGTTCACCATATCGAACTGAATCATTTGAAACGATTCGCGTCCCCAGTAAGCACTTATCCACAAACTACATTTTAAACAAGCCTAATACGCCCGTATGACTCTAAATAATCCAAAATATACCCTCATTCAGTTATTAGAACAGTAAAGTTACACCGAGAAGCGGTGAACCGATAACACTGCGCATGCGTGATTCAGTGAATCAAACACAAACAGCTCATGGCAGCCTGCTGGGACTGAACTAAACTTGAACAACAGCAGCGCGGGTAAACCGAGAGCTTAAATGAGAGCATCTGGTGAAAAACGTAAGTTTATTTCATAACAGACTATCGTACAGGAATTTAAATAAGTGAATCATACTGCAGTTGGGTGCAGAACTTTACTGTAAGACATTTTTCAGATCATGGTGATGTTTTAACTGACTGAAATGACTATTGCTGACTGCATAATGTTGAGTCCTGACATCCGCGTTAAAGATCTGCACTTCCCATCACTACTGTGTGTCTAACCTCAGAGCAGCCTTGCACACATATTGTACTGAAGGCTGCTGTATTTGAGTTTGAGGATGGGTATGGCATTGGATAGTGTTCTTGTGTTCTCTGAATACAGGTTTATTATACAGTATTTATCCTGTTAATTTTGAATCTTGCACCTAACATCTTCATTTAGAAAAAAAAAACTAACACTGAAACTAATAAAAACCACACTAAAACTAAGACATTTCAAAATATAGAAACTAATAAACACTCGTAAATCTGCCTCTAAAACTAATTTAAACTGACTGAATTTGTAAACAAAAATCCAAAACTATCACACCCTTGCTCTGTATATTACTGAATGACGAAAGAGACCACCAAATCAAAGTGTTGAGGTACATTTCGATCCTGTAGACTATGGCACACATGCTGTTTACATCGCAGTGAGTTCACATTGATCAGCTTGTTAATGTTTATCAAGCCCGATTCCAAAGTCGCATTCATCTTCTGGAATAAACGCATGCCATATTAGAGCATTAGAAATAAAGCAGGCTGCCTCGGGTCTATAATACGAAGCAAATATGTGGTCTCTGATTGGGATTTTGTCAGCTGCAAACGTTTTCTGTGTTTATGGGACAAGTTTAGTTCCTGTTCACGTTCCCTGTGATGACAAGACTGTGGAGAAGTTGTCCAGACTGGCCGTCACGTACATAAATGAGGACAGACAAACAGGTTACAAATTCGCCCTTAACAGAATCACAAACGTCCAGGCGAATCAACAGGTTGGTGAGCAGTGCTGTTATTTTTAATAGTGGAAAGACAACCACACGTTATTTATTATTAAATTAACATCAGAAATAGCAGTATGCACACTATGAGAGATTACATACCTACATTTAAAAGCGAGTAAATCTTGGATCTTTTATAAAGTCAACTAACAGCTTTAAAAGTAGCAGGTGTACTCACTTATTACAGTAAAGTAACCAATTGTTTTTAAACCAAAGCTACTCATTTATTCATGAAGTGATGTTGAGTTATCACTTTATAGACTCTAAATGCAATTGTCATGTTTGCAAGGTATTGCTTACACCATAGGTCCACTATTCTGTGCTGTAGGGTCCAGCTGGAAAGGTCTATTATCTGGATTTAGATGTCCTTGAGACCAAGTGTCACGTTCTCAGTCCCAAATCATGGAAGAAGTGTGCTGTAAGACCCTTCATGGAAACAGTAAGGCAGCTTCTGATTATAACCTGTTATTGGACATTTTAGGGAAATTTAGAAGGGAGTTTAACACCTCTGGATGACAGTATAGTAGTGTTGATTGTCTCTGTTCAAAATTGTATTTACACATTTGCAAAAGCTGTGACATTTATTCACTTTGTATGCAAAATTGAACCTTTAAGAAAGTTATATCAGCCCAATTACAGCGTTTGTACCTTTTTTCTGAGATTATTTATTATGAATTTATACTGTGAATGTTTAATTAATAATAATAAAGATATACAGTATATGCAATTTAGTATGAACTTATCTAACTGTGATTTGGAAATCTGATAGATGCACACCTGAATCATCCTGAACTGTACATTTTTTAAAATGTGTTGATTTTATTTCATTTTTGTTTGTTTTTAAAAAAATGCTGTTTAAAAGAAAAACAAAAATCTATAAATATATAATTGTAAAACATAAAATAAGACATTTAAGAAAATGTTGGAAACAAACAACATGACAGAAATGTATAAGGGGTTTAAACAGCTTGAGGGAAAGTACAGGGTGAGTATTTTCTCATTGTCATGCTGAAATATCCCATTGCTCATCAGGCATTATTATCGTTATTATGTAGGAGAATATAAGATTGCTAATACTGTTCCATTTTTTTCTTGTGTTGTAGCAAATTTCTGGCAACTGTAACACTACAGTACTTCACACACCAGAGGGTTTCTCTTACCTTTACAGCTATGACTGCACTCTCGTACCAGGTGAACCCCTCGTCCCAGTCAGACTGCATACATCTTCAACAGTTGCAAACAAATGAACCCTGCTGTTGTCCTAGAATTCTCTATAGACCATTCAGCCTTCACCAAACCTCCAAAATAAAGCAGCTACTTTTAAATGTCAATCCTCAAATTTATTTTGCTTACACAATCTCACGGAAATCCGTAACTTTTTGATTTAGTGGCTAATTCGTATGAATTCTTACAAACTAATTCGTACAATTTAGTATGATTTGCTCATCACCCAATGACGGTTGTGGTTGGGAGCCACACCTCCTTTTTAAAATTGTAAATTTTCGTATTTCGAATTAGCCACTGAACTGACAAAACGTAAAATACTTACGTTACCTCGTGAGATCAGGCTGATTTTGCATAAAAAACAACCTCATCGTAATTACAAGTCTAGATTTAGATTTGACCTTATTAGTGTGCATCAGCATGTACGTCATTAGTGTTTAATTCTTTTTCATTTGTAAAGATATTTGCGTATTACTGTACAGTGTGTAAGCGAAGCACACAAATAACGCGCTCAGTGCTGGACTTTAGCCTAGCTTTGATCAGGTCTATTGAACAGTCTATTATAGTTTCTCAAAATAGCAATGCACCTCAACACACCTCCTTTTTTAGATCAGAACGCCTATGGGCACACATATGAGCGCAAATGCATTTGTTATTTAAACAGCGTGCTGCAAAACGTCACAACAACTCTTTCGCCAAGCTGAAACTAGCAAACAACTATTGCGTCATGCATTGCGCCTCATTGCGCCGGCTGTATGATAGGGCCCTTCGAGTGCTACATCATTTTCATTTGCAGGATATTAGTCTTGGACTCAAACTGCATTTTTCTTGAACTTAATCCAAATATAACAATAGACAAAACCTTTTTAAAATTAAAGTACAATTAAAGACATTTAGAATTAAAAAAGGTAGAGGTATTAATCGCATCTTGTTTTGATTATGAAGAAGCTAAACAGAAGATATACTTGATTATTTGGCCATTAGTAAGAATGTCTCTTGGTGAAATGCATGATGTTTACAATCTCAGAATGAAGCATGTTATTAGTACTGAAAAGCAAATGCCTTTTTAAAAACCAGGACCCCAATAAATATGGAAGACAACTGAAGATGGAAGTCTCTAATATGCTATAACTGGCAAACAAGTCTGAGCAGTAGTATCTGGATGCAGCCTTTATGATGCAAGCTGAGACTGCATCACTCAGCGATGCAATGTCAGACACAATGCACTCAAATGGAGCTAGTGACATCACTGTGATGGGTGGGGTTAGGTGAGCCCATTTAAAAGCATTGGATGCAGCCCAGATTGCACTGCACCAGGTCTGCAGCCAGACCCCTCTCAGTCTGAGTGGCTTTCTATGTGCATCTCTCCCGATTTATCCAATTCAGTTCTTGATATTTCTTTTCTCTCACTCTCCTTATAATGTTTTGCTTCTCTTCCTCAAGATCCCCCAGAGAAGTTACGGTTGACGTGTCCCGATTGTCCTCTTCTGCTGCCGGTCGACGGGGTTGAAGCTGCCGCCGCAGCCAGAGCTGCCCTTCTCAAATACAACACACAGAGCACACTACCGGCCAGCCTGACAGTGCACTCCATCACCAGAGCCTCACAGCAGGTTAGCAGTTCATCACTTTTACACTTTAGCTTTGCGACTGTGTGTGGTAATACTGATAATATTGAAACGTTATAGTTTACAGAGAGAAACATTACTTATTATCATTATTTACAGCAGTTCCTATTTCTGCTTACAAATGAACATTTGTTTAATAAGAGTAATAATAATTGCTTCAATATTTCTTTCAAGAGTTCACCCTCAGCTGATGATTGATTATAAAGCGTGTTTGCCATGCTGAGAGAGCCCTGAGCTCATAAGATCCTCGAGCCCGGGGCTCCCTCTCATTTGCATTGCGAGAGGGGAGTTTGAGCTCAGGTAGATGTGGAGAACTCTCCTGCTGTAGTAGCTCATGAACAGATAGTGATCGCTCTTAGGAGATATCTACTGACTAGGAGTATTGACTTCACATTTACACACTGCTAAGCAAGACTCTTCATGAAACAAGCTTCTATACATGTCGGTTGCATGAGCTTTTTGATGGTCTCAGGTCAGTGAAAGCTGCAGTCCAGATCAGATGAAAGATTTTTAAAAGTGACGGCTTCACAGAAAGCTAAACATGACCCCACAGCACCTATACAAGCTGACTAAAGGCCCCCAAAAAGAAAACAAATGTCATTGTGTTGATGCTGCCAAACTCTTAGGACAAAAAAGAGCCCTATAAAAGCAGTTCACTGGTGTTCATTCAAATGACATCCTCGTGTTCGAGTTGAAATCCAACTAGTTATTCAATAAAAATGCTGCATGTATGTGATGATGGTATTTCTTTAACGCTCTGCACTGATCATCGCCTTCTCCTGAAGTATTAAATCTTCTCCTGTTTGGTGTCTTAGAGCACTCCTTTTCCTGCCAGTTTCGTGGAGTTCATTGTTCAGGAGTGTTCAGAGGTTCAGTGTGCGCCAGCACTCGAAGGAAAAGAGGTGGGATTCCTGCTGAACGGCAGTTCGTCACCACTGTTAACCACTTCTGTTTTGCTATTCTTTTAATTTATGAAAGTTCTCTACTTAATCAATCTGCCTGATTACTCAGTGTTTATACTGTATCTGCTTCCACTTTAGCCTGTTGGATTCTGTGTTGGGACGGTTTTTGGCACTGGCCACGGATTGCAAGATGTGAAGGTGTCCTGTGAAATGTTTCGCCCACAGGTACCACATGGTAACATGAGACATTCACAGCTTTAAAAGCCGCTGACTGATAACTCAGTGTTACGAAACAAACTGAGCCAATCCCAGTCGAGTATTCATATTGTTTATAGAAGTTTAAAGACTGAAATAGACTCTGTATTTAGTTTCTTGCCTTGTCATTGTCAATAATGTGTCACAAGACAGATGACCCAAGTGCATTGTTTTATTAAAGAGAATAAAGGTCATTTGTGTTTAGTATTACTAGTCTGTAGTAGATGTTATATTGAGACCTTTGTAAGAGAAAAAGGGTTCATATTAATTAATCTCTTCTTGTCCTTGTTAACAGATCCCACAACAGAACAACTTAAAAATTGATCAAATTAAAATTGTGATAGAATTAGGGCATTTGATGGGTAATATTTTCAATTTTGCAAAGTTCTGTTGTGTTTAAACCAACACAATCTCACGGCAATTCGTAACTTTTTCATTCAGTGGCTAATTCGTACAAATTCGTACGATCTAATTCGTACATTTTAGTACGATTTGCGTATCCCCCAATGACGGTTGGGTTTAGGGGTGGGGTTAGGTGCCACGCCTCCTTTTTAAAATCGTACATTTTCTTACGACTGAACTCGTACGAATTCGTACGAATTAGCCACTAAACTGCCAAAACGTAAAATACTTACGTTTTCTCGTGAGATCAGGCTGGTTTAAACAGGAGGATCTCTGTTTACAATGCTTCATAGCTTTGTCGTTGTTTTGAAATGTGAAATAATTCAATAGTTCTCCACTGGGTGGCAGTTTGTATATTGCCATAATATCCGCATGAATCAGCAGAGTAATGAGAGTGTCCTTGCTGCAGCCCGCAGCTTGATGACGTGAGCATTTGCCAAACAAACCAATTGATAAATTATTAAATTCCACAATAAATTGTGTTGTTATTAACGTCTATGTACATCTACGCCAACCCTAAACCCAACCGTCACATTTCTAAACGTCTACGCCTCAACCAACCATCACAGTAGCATGGGCATTACCGTAGTGGGCATTACAATGTCATTGGGATACAGACTGAGGCTGGAAAATCTTAGGGATAACTCAGATCCTGCCCAGTGGGAACTCGTTGAACAGGTTTTTATAGTTTTTCCCTGATCTTGGATCATTTTTACATATTTGCAGACATTTTATTGAGACATTTGTAAAGTGGAAAGGAATAATAGGTAATAGTTTCGTGTTGACATGTTTAGCAGAGCCCACCAATAGATAACAAACAATAGATACATCTTAACAACTTATAAAAGAACAAAGCGAAACGAAAAGTTTACTATTTGATGATGTTGGATTAACGAAGTGAGTTAATAGGTTATGCTTTCAGCTGAACGTTTGCAATATGTGTTGGCCCCTACAGCCTTTGTGGTTGATTTTTTTTTGGTTGGTATTCAGTAATCATTATTAAACAATGAGTCTCATTAACTTATAATTGTGTAAATTATTTGTATTTACATGCACATTCAATCTCCTTGAGCAGTGACAAGTGTGCTATTGATAAACGCAGTGCTAAGTAGATGACGCAATGAACACAAATATTACTTCATTTATTTAATCTTTTTTTTTTTTAGAGTAAAAGTTTGGTGATTTGTTCATGAAATAAATCATAATTATTTGTTGTTTAGGGCTAAGTCTTTTTTTATTGTGCTTATATGCCGTATGAACATGTAGATCTACCTATATAAGTGAATATCTGATGAATAAAAGTGCATATGTAGTGTTTTGGTTCTGCGTATGAGAGATGGTGCAGTAATGTGGTATTTGCTGCATCTTTAAGACATTACACATTTACCAATACCTGCTTTGTTTTACCACTGGCCCACAGGCTCATGTTGTCAGTCCGACACATCTAGAGGAAAAGTCCAGCACCGTTTCTAAAACCCCAACCCTTGATGTTCATGTTCCTCACAACCCTGAGCCCTCATTCCAAGAAGGCGGTGCAGAAACACCTCAGTTTGCAGACCCCGTGCACCAGGCCATCCCTGCAGGACCCGGATCACAGCCCACCTCCTCCAGTGAATCCAGCGAGTCTTCAGAGACCAGCTCATCTGAGGAAACCAACAGTTCTGTCCGTGCCGTCAAACCTCCGCTGAACTTCCGTTATGTGCTTCAGCGTCAGAAGAGGCAGACTGTCTCGAGCACCGCGGCTCCTCACACACCCGTGTTCCTAAGTGTCTTTCCCAGCGTCCCGTCTCCATTCCGCTCCTGTCCCGGAGTCTCTCGCTACACCACTGTGTGAGAGGATTCGCCATTAAACAGAAAGTCTACAAGACAACTCAATGAAGAGTTTCAGAAATGACCTTCTAATGGTAAATCCTTCAAGAATAATCTCTAAAAGGAATAGTTCCCCCAAAATTACATTCTGTCATCATTTACTGCTCCTTTACTCTTTTGAAACATTAATGAGTTTCTTCTGTTGAACAGAAACGAAGAAACCGGTAACCATTGACATCTATTGTATTTGTTTTTCCTACAATGGAAGTCAATAGTTCGGTTTACAGCCTTGAAGAGAAACTCGATGTTTTGAAATGACTTGAGGGGGAGTAAATAATGAGTACAATTCATTTATGGGTCAACTATACCATCAATAGTTCCTACTGTGATTTAGGATCGATCCCATTAATGTTTAATGGCTTTAATATGTCACCAACAGGATTTAAAACGTTACCAAGAAAGACTCTAAGGGTTTGCTTGTTTATACACACTGATGTAATTTCTATTATACCAAATAAAATGATGACCAAACTATCAGAACTTCTGTGATAGTTTCATAATGCAAACACCATCAAAAACAAACATTACATTTAAACCAGCATCAATCATCAATCAGTACATTTTAAATCTTTCTACTAGTGTGAATTTTAAAGAAGAAAGTTCTGTAACACTTTAGAATAACTCCGTTATAACTAGTTAATAGTCCATTAATAAACTGTTAGTTAATGAGTTATAAACAGTTTATTTATTTATAACTATCTGTTATAACTAGTTGATAGTCCATTAAACTTACTTAAGTTATAAATGACTTGTTAAATAAAAGTTAATAGTGTGTTAATTGTTTATAAATTAACTTAAATATTAATAATAATAATTAAATATTTATAAACTGTTAGTTAATGAGTTATAAATGACTTAAAAGTTTGTTAATTATAACTATCCGTTATAACCAGTTAACAGTCCTTAATGAGTTATAAATTACTTGTTAAATAATAGTTAATAGTTTGTTAATTATTTGTTATTTCAACGTGTTTCAATAATTTATAACTATACCTAATACATTAGTAATAGATCATGAACAAGCTGTTAGTAAATTACTTACTAAAGACTTAGTAAGTATCACTTAATAGTTTATATATGTTGTTGGGGCATTATTCTAGTTGCAATTATTCTTCATGAATTAACTGTTAGTAAATGAGGAATAGTTGCAACTTTAGAATAACGCCCCAAAAACATTCATATGCTAATAACAAACACTTAACTAATATATTAACTCACACTCTACAGATCAGTTGTTCATAGTTTGTTTCCCATCTAATGACAGCAGTTAAACTTTTGTAGAAGTTTTCTAATAAAATACATTTTTCTTTATTTTGTTTTCATGTTTAGCACATAAAGTGGTTATAGTAGTAGTAGTTTTAAATCATTAAAATACAGTTAACAAGTCATTAACTTGTTAACTAATAGCTTGTAAGTTATCTATTGGCGATCTTTAAGGCACAGTTATAAATAATGAACAAACTGTTAACTTATTTAACAAGTCATGTGGAAATCATTAACTAACAGTTTATTAATGATCTATTAACTATTTCTAACGGATAGTTATACATAATTAACAAACTATTAACTCTTGGAGGTGAAAAGGAAGTTCCCTGACCGGGAATCGAACCCGGGCCGCGGCGGTGAGAGCGCCGAATCCTAACCACTAGACCACTAGGGAAGGGCTTGCAAAAGCTTGCCCTCAAGCCTAGCTGTGGGCCTCCAGCCAAGTGTGCTGCAGCTGCTCTGACCAAAATAACTACCGCTTGTAACCTCCTCCTGGAGAAGAGAAAGTCTCTGGATCACAGTTCTTAAGGAGGGACTGTCACATGCTCTGTGTAAGAGCACCACAACTTGCCATGAAAGCAAAGCACAGCATGCGTTGAAGAAACTCCATGTTGACAGAGCCGTGTCTTCATTCCAAGCAACATGCTAATGAGGACAACATGAACAGGGCCAGTGGCACTTTGGCGCAATGCATAACACGTCTGGCTATGGATTATAAGGTTTTAGGTTCGACTCTTGGCTGGCTCGCTCAGGTCTTTGTGCATTGCTGTCAGTCAGTGCACTGCAGGTGCCTTTTACCACTGCCGGAGCTGTTCAGTTCTACTCTGGAGTGAATCTAGTTTCTGGGTTGCCAGCACAGAGCCTGTGGGGTGCTCCCCTGGTTTCAAAGGCTGCCCCAACTGCTCTCATGTCTTGGTCCCGTACATCCCTCAGGACTTCCGGAAGAAACGAGTACAGCTGATCTAGGTACGTACTGAAATAACATATCAATACTGTAATAAAGGGAATAAACCGAAAAGAAAATTAATGAATGATGTTAATTATTCATTCAGTCATTCACTTTCTTGTCGGCTTAGTCCCTTTATTAATCCAGGGTCACCACAGCGGAATGAACCGCCAACTTATTCACCATGTTTTCACACAGCAGGTGCATAAAATATGTGAATATCAAAATATCCACTTTTGTGTTCAACAACAAACTCAAGCTAGTTTTGAACAAGTCTGGAATGAGTAAATAATGGCAAACCTTTCATTTGTGGAAACACAATCATCTTTATTCAGAACAAAGTTCACACTGCCTCTGTAATGCTGATACTGCAGGATATCGATGGTAATGTCATCTGAAGAGGATGTGTTGTTTCTCCAGAGATTATGAGGATGATGATTAAATAAATCCACCATGAATGAGTTGAACACCGGCACTCTCAACATCTCTGATTTCACCTGTAAAATTCTGTCAGCATTAATCCCTCTTTACTTGTTTATGTGTGTTAGTTTATGTGTATATGTGTTTTATTATTATTATTAATTATTATTAAAAGGCCCTCCACCACCACCTTACTCCTCCTAGATCATTTCTGATATCAGTAATTCTGAGATCTCCCTCATCCACAAAGTCCAGAAAATACCAGAATTGTTTTCTTGTGGCAGTTTCTGGACTTTGTTTCTGAGCAACTTGGGGCTGTTGCTGTCCATGAAGGATGAGGGAGCTCTCTGATTTCATCTAAAATATCTTCATTTGTGTTCAGGGGACTTATTTGCCAGATTAATAATGCTTGCTCATTTCAGCCTAGGGCTGTCCAAACATAACATTACAAATATAGAAGTCTACAATTACTTTAGGGTCAGGGTTAATAATGTACACTTCCACCCACAACACAAACTGAAGAAAACAAGGCCCTCCACCACCCCCTACTCCTCCTAGATCATTTCTGATATCAGTAATTGTGAAATCTGAGATCTCCCTCATCCTCAAAGTCCAGAAAAATACACAAAAAAGATTTTCCGGCAGTTTCTGGACTTTGTTTCTGAGCAACTTGGGGCTGTTGCTGTCCATGAAGGATGAGGGAGCTCTCTGATTTCATCTAAAGTTCTCTTCATTTGTGTTCAGGGGATTTATTTGCCAGATTAGTAATGCTTGCTCATTTTTTAACAGTTTTGTAATTCATTATTGTTTTAAACCTTCTGCTTATCATATAAACCTGACCCAATGCTTTGTTCTGGTGCTGGTGTTTCTTCATCCTCATCCTCTAGAGGAACATCACGTCCTCCTCAAAATGCACTCAGATTTAACCATCCACATCCTCAGAGTCCATCACGGGTTTCCATTTTTGCCTGCACAGAAGAGGCCGTTTCCTAGCACTGATGACGACGCTGATCCTGCAGTGTTTGGGTCTCAGGACAGACTCTGGTTCTGGATCAGTTAGATGTGGGTTCTTCTTGGCTTCTTTATGACGTTTGTGTTGGTTTTATGAGTTTTTTATAGAAATGTTTTGTTAATTTTCTGCAGAAGACCTTGCTGCTTTCTGTGTGAAGTCCATACAGAGAAAAACACAAGAGGAAATATTAAAAACATGTCTGGCATTCGTCTAGCGCATATTTATATGACATGAGAAGCATCCCAGCGGGCACCTTGATGACAAAACTACATCAGAAACAGCATAAAAATGCAGATCGATTTATGTCAGCTGATTAACTGGACGTGTTTTTGACGCCAGTGTTAGATGTCAATTTGATGTCGTTTAGACGTCAAGCTAGTTTACATGCATTGTAGAGATATTTGTAATGTGTACTTGAAGCTTTCAGATGAATAAAACATTGCTTATAATACTTTATGTGTCTTTATTTTAGTGGTCAAAAGGACATCAGTGTGTAGATGTCAGGTAGACGTCAAGGTTCTGACATCAAATTGATCAGGGTTTTGGACATGCTTTCCTATGTTGTTTTGACATCAAAGTGAGATCCTAAACCTGATAAATGTAGTTCCCTTCAGGCTGAGTTGTGTTTACCTTCATCTGTATCGGGTCTCGTCTTCATTCTACGCTCTCTTCATCCAGTCGTGTTGTAAGAACTGATCAAGCGTCATGTTTTGTCTCAGACACTTTGTGATCAGATCTCGGCAGTCTGTACAAGGGGAAAGAAGGTTAACACACTGCTTATAAGACTACATCTTACTTATAAGACTGTATAATATACACTAAAGCTGACATTTATCAAGATACCTTCTGAAACGTGTGATTAAAAGACTAACAATGACAAGGGCTGTATCCTAAACCGCCCCCTATACCCTTAATAGTGCAGTATTTGCCGAGATGTGCATAAATCTTCAGAATGTGTATAAAAATGTAGGTTTAACTTAAAAAATGAAGCTTATGGAAACACAGCTAGTGTCTGTTCACTCACCTCTCATTAAGCTGGGTGGAAGCGAAATCTTGCCCTTGACTTTAACATCGAAGTAGTTGACCAAGTCTCCGGTCATCATGTAATGCAGCAGGCAGCCTATAGCCCAGGCGCTAGATAAGACTGCTTTATCGTAGTTGTGTGCTTCCACTTTGTAAGCGCAGCCGAAGTCGATCAGCTTGATCTGCATAGTCTTCTTGTTGACCAGGATGTTGTCAGAATGCAGGTCGTTGTGCACGATTCCTTTGTCGATGCAATGCTGGACTGCCAGGACTATCTGTTGCACCAGGCATCGTGCCACAGGTTCGGCCAGCTTGCCCTTCTTGCTTACAAAGTCAGTCAGGACTACACAAGGCTTGGGGTACTCCAGGACCATTGAAATGCATTTAGGTTCATTAAACCACTCGTACATTTCGATCACGTATTTGCACAATGGCGGACGCTTCAGCATGAGCATGATCTCCACTTCTTTAAAAGGTTTGGTAGCTAAACCAGGCTGTGAGAAAGAGAGAACAGGGGTTAGTAGATGCAGATCTGAAGGAAGACTTCGTTTAAAGGATTAGTTCAAGCAAATATGTTTTCAGATTTCAGAAAAGCTTTATGCTCTTAATGCTCTAATAGCAATATATTTTGCAGAAGATTTTTCTGATATCGTGCGGCCCTAGATCAACTGTAATCAAGTGAAGCTCCAAGAACACTTTTGTGCACCAAAACACTGTAAAATGGCTGTGTGTGTGTTTGTCTTCTGCATCAGATCAGGGTTTGTGTTTACTGTGGTCAATGCAACTCTTGCCTGTTGCTCTACTGACTCTAATGGCCATACGCCATGCTGACCATAGTGTTGACCATAGTGAACACACTCTGAGCCGATGCCAACAAGAATACAAGAAATTGTTTGGTGTACAAAAGTGTTCTTGGAGCTTCGTTTGATTACAGTTGAACTACTGGACACAACTGTTTTGACAACGTTTCTGGTATTTTTCTAACATTTTGAGTCCCTTGTTGTCTATGAAGGATGAGGGAGCTCTCAGATTTCATCTAACACATCTTCATTTGTGTTCTGGTGATGAACGGAGGTCTCAGAAATTTCCATTTCTGGTAAACTAATGTTTAAATGCATGCTACGTTGCTTAAGTATTTCTGTATTACAGCGACCTACTACAGCAACTGTTCACATTAATCAGATTTCACCACAATATCTGGGCATAAAGGTCAATTTTACAGTAGTTTAGCGATGAAGAACTGCAAAATGACTTTCTTCAACTGGACCATGAGTGAAATGTTCATGCAGATTCACATGACTGGATTTGGCCTTTTGAAATTCGACTACGCAACAGTAAATGTGTCCAAACCATCAACGAATTAAACACAGAGTGATTGTTTTCCAACTTACTACATAGGTGGCATCGTTTCCCTTCTCAATCTGCTTGATGGCAACCTGCAAAGAGGAAATGCAATTATTCTTTTGCTCCCACATATTCTTCATCAACACAGATGCTCAATTAGAGAATTAAAGACAGCAAAATGTGTAGTAAGAGAGTTTTACCTTCATGCAATCAGATTTACGGAGCGCTTTGTGTACTGTGCCGAAGGCCCCGCTTCCCAGAATAGCTCCCAGCTTGTAGAAACTTCCCAAAGGTCCTGAAAAAAAGAAGAGTTTAAGAGCTTTCAGGTCTATCATACTGACATTATCTTACACTAACAAATATATGTTGTATTAGCAAATATTATAGTACTGACGCCTACCATCAGAGGCTCCTAACGCCGAGATCTGGAGCCCCGAAGGTCCAGGGACAGGCTCTTCATCCGAATCTGGCTCTTCATCCTGATCTGGCTCTTCATCCGGATCTGGCTCTTCATCCTGATCTGGCTCTTCATCCGGATCTGGCTCTTTATCCGGATCTGGCTCTTGATCTGGCTCTTGATCAGGCTCTTGATCAGGCTCTTGATCTGGCTCTTGATCAGGCTCTTGATCAGGCTCTTGATCTGGCTCTTGATCAGGCTCCTGATCTGGCTCTCGATCTGGCTCTCGATCAGGGTCTCGATCTGGCTCTCGATCTGGCTCTCGATCTGGCTCTTGATCTGGCTCTCGATCTGGCTCTCGATCTGGCTCTTGATCTGGCTCTCGATCTGGCTCTTGATCAGGCACTTGATCTGGCTCTGGACCCAACTCAAAATCTGGTATGGGCTCTGAATCAGGATCAGGCTCTGGATCTGGATTCGGCTCTGGATCTGGACCCGGCTCTTGATCTGGATTGTGCTCTGTATCTGGCTCTTGATCTGGCTCTTGATCTGGCTCTGGATCTGGACCCGGCTCATGATCTGGATTGTGCTCTGAATCAGGATCTGGATTTGGCTCTTGATCTGGATTGTGCTCTGGATCTGGACCCGGCTCATGATCTGGATTTGGCTCTTGATCTGGATTGTGCTCTAAATCCGGCTCTTGGTCTGGATCAGAATCAGGCTCCCCTTTGTTCCGTCTTCTGCGGAGGAAAGGCTTCTTCATGAGCTTCCACACCCTCCTGAAGAAAGCCTGGATTTTGTTCCTCCTGCTGCCTTGTGTTTGGATTTCTGAAATGTAGGAAAAGAACAAAGAAAAGATGAGAGACGTGACGGTCAGTGATTGTGTTCGCTATTAAGAATATATAAATGTAAAACAGGAAAAATATAATACATTAAATACATGATTTTAATTTCACAGGACCTTTAAGGAGTATAAATCAGGCCTGTGAGAATAGTTGCTTCATGTCTATAATAAGTGCATTAAACTATCATATTGTGTTGTTGATCTGATGATGTGCAGGTTTGATTTTGCCCTCTGTCTGCAACTTTTAAGCTGCTGATTTTCTCATGATTTGTACTAAGAGCAGCTGAATGTCTGTCATTTCTGTTGTGTGTCTGCAGACGGTCTCACTGGTTGTGTTTTCCTCCACATTGTTATCAGGAGAGGACTCATACGGTGCTGTACTGTCACCAGAATGCATTGACCAGTCCTCTTCCAGCCACGGACAGAAGTCGCTGCAGAAGCTGATGATCTCCAAAAGTGAGCCTGCATGACAAAACCAGTCTTAATGGTCAATAATCAGAAACGGAGATTAATGCAAACACTTTACTGGACTCATCATGATACTGTCTCATAAATATGGATGAGAGTTTATGCATGCTTACGACTGTCAACTATTACAACAGTCACCTGTGTGCCTTTGTTACCTGTATTACTGTAACTTGACATAAACAAATACATCATAACCTGTTATTGTCAGGAAAATTCACCAAGACAACATAACATGTCATAAATCTGTCATCAACATGATTGGCATGAGGCCGTTCTATTTTAAAATCACATTATTTCTCATTTTGTTTCATATATAATGTGTCTAATTTCATTTATACATTTATTTTAATCCTCCAATACACTCATAGATCTCCTCACCCAGTTTATAAAATGGTTTCAATGTAAGAAAGCTTACCTGTTGTGTTTTTCTCAAGTGCTGTACCGGCATCGGAAACCACAGTCCAGTCCTCCTCGTCCAGCCAGGGACAGAAGTTACTGCAGAAGCTGATGGTCTCCAAAAATGACCCTGGACACCAAAATCAGTCATAATGGTCAGTTTATTAATAATAAAATATATGAATGAAAATCTTGATGGATCAAAGTCTGTGTAAAACCCATTATTGATCATTTCTCATTTGTGTTTAAGAGTGTTTTAGTCATTTAAGTCTAGTGGCTGCTGACAGACTCACCGGTTGTGTTTTTCTCCACATTATTATCAGTAGCGGGTTCACCGGCATCCGAAACCACAGTCCAGTCCTCCTCGTCCAGCCAGGGACAGAAGTTACTGCAGAAGCTGATGGTCTCAAAAGATGAACCTGAAAAACAAAATCAGTCATGAGGGTCAATTTTCAGAAACTTTCTGAACTATTCATAACAAAACATCTCCATGGAAAATGATGAACTATTCCTCAATACACTGAAGATTGCTGCATGAAAGAAAATATTTGACTCAGGCAATGTATTCTTGGCTCTTCCTAAACATTTATTTTTAAATATTCATTATATTTTCTAATAGGACACATCCTGAGGGGGTTAAGATAGTGCTGGATGTGTATTGATTGTTTGGGCTAGGCCCAGTGAATAGAAAAGTCTCGCTTTTGGACAATTTACCTCACAGGACAACTTTTCTCTTCCTAAAGTCTATTGAAACCCCATTGTTGATCATTTATCGTTATTGTTTCATATGTAATGTGTCTTTTTTATTTCTACATTTATTTTAATCCCTCAATGCTTGGAGAATTATATCTCTACTCTTGTTTTTAATGGTTTTAACAGCTAATTAAGCTTGAGTGTTTGCTGATAGTCTCACCGGTTGCATTTCTCTCCACTTTATTAGCAGTGGAGGGTTTGTGAAGTGTTGTATCGGCCTCTGAAACCACAGTCCCGTCCACCTGGTCCAGCCAGGGACAGAAGTCGTCGCAAAAGCCGATTGTGTCCAACCACAGACCCGCCTCCGCTTTCTCCATTCCACCACACACAGATGCTGTTGCTGCCATCGCGTGGTCAAACACAGGCATCGTGTTTTGACTCGTGAAGTGTTGTAGTTCACTCATCGGGTGTTTTAAATCGTTAGATAATTGGTAAATCGGTAAATTGACCAAAACTCTGTAAACGCGCTCAAATGACAATCCTTTCACTAGCTTGATAATCACTGAACTGGAGAGTGGTTAGCCGCGTGACGTCACTTGTGGAACAAGGCGCGTTTATTTTTAAAAGTTCAGATTCTTCAGAACAGCACAGAAATGATATTACACATACCTATATATATATATATATATATATATATATATATATATATATATATATATATATATATATATATATATATATATATATATATTATTTTTGGGAAAAATGCCTCCATTTGAATGAAGTAAAAGTCATAAATCTGAGTAAACAAGCAGCAAATTGACAGTTTATTAAAGGAAAAGTCATAGTTAAAGGTTCATTATTAGTGAGAATTGTGTTGAAGTGTGCTCAAATTATTGCTTGTTAATTAGAAAACCCGGTTCTTAATGCGGGGAAGTGTGTTATATGTGTTATAAATACACCCGTATCAATGAAGAGGTTTATAGCCATTCCAAGGCATTAAAATAAACCATAGTTTTCATTGAATTTTCATCTGAAAATCACAAAAATCTGACCTTAATGTAATATACAAGGTATTTGGATGTTGTTTTTTATTTTAGAGATAAAATTCTGCCCTCTGAGAGGAAAAAAAAAAACAGCAATTTCCACATATTCAGAAGGGGTGCCTAGACACCTGCTCATTTTCAGCTATTTCTTGATGCTTTAGAAATTATTTCCTCAAACTGATGATATATATTCACCAGATGGACTTTATCATTCTAAAATACATTAAAAAAAATTTTTTTTGTATGTTTGGTTGTTGTTGTTGATTTATTTTAATTGTTTACTTTTCAATATAACAGCCAATTTCAGTGTGCCAATTTTATTTATTTATTTATTTATTTATTTTTATTTAAAAGCCCTAGACAACTACACTGTGTGTGCACAAACATTCCAGTTTTATAATGGGTTTTGGATACATTATTTAAAAAAAAAAAAAAAAATCCTGTTCATTTTCAATGTGGGGTCAGGTTGACCCCAAGAAACCTAAATGTTGATTTTTTTTATGTTTTTCATACACCTTTAAAACAACCGAATCAACTACAGTTTTTATGTGTTTGTTTATGTGTCTTTTTTAGGATATGAGAGCTTTTTGCCCCTAAGATAAAGGAACATATACAGTATGTCAAAAATAGGAAACATCCCTTAGAGTCGCCCTGACCCTGTGGGCCAATATAGGGTTAGAAGATATATAGACATATAACATAGTGTGCTGTGTTTACTAAAAATTTAAAGTTAAGTACTGAGCACATATACTTTATAATCTAAACTGAATTTAAATACAGCAAGTGTTACAACAAACCCTCTGTCTCTTACAACTAGCCCTGCAGATGGAGTAAATAGCCACATTTTTACTCTAAACACCTTTGAGTGATATGATAAGATCAACTTTAAATATGTTTGATCAACAATCTGTCTCTGTTGATCTGAGATGTTGTACAATTGACACACAAAGCGGATTATAGTTTAATAACTGTTTTTATGTACTCAATTTCACCATATATTTAAAGATTTGTAGTCAGACAGCTCCAACACATTAATAACAATACAACACAACTTATATCTTTCAAAATACCTGATTTCTTTCACGTGAAGATGAAACAAACAAATCACAATATTTATAATACATCACAATTGTCAGCGCAGAAAAGGCAAATGCTTTAATTATTAATTTAAATATGAATATATATATATATATAAAGCAATATGTCAGATTTTATTGACAAATATCTAACATAATTTGTCAATAATTTGGAAATGCTGCAAACTCAATACTTGATTAATTGGGTAGGCTAAATTGTCCTCAGTGTGTGTGTGTGTGAGTATGTGAATGAGTGTGTATGGATGTTTCCCAGTGATGGGTTGCAGCTGGAAGGGCATCCGCTGTGTAAAAGCGTGCTGGATAAGTTGGCCGTTCATTCCGCTGTGGCGACCCCTCGTTAATAAAGGGACTAAGCTGAAAAGAAAACGACTGAATGAATGTTTATGGTTTTGTTGTACTTCTCTGCTACTGTCTTCCCATACACATCTCAGCACCGGCATCCTCGTCAGCAATTGGCTGGATTTGGTCTCACAGCGGAATTCTGATCAGCGATTGGTGGGATATGACGTCCGTCAAACGTCAGCTAGTTTCTGATTTTCAATTGGCTGTCGAAACCACAGGAGGCAGGAAGTAATAACTGTTTTTAAACGACGGATTACTGAGTAGCGTTTGTGCATCGTGAAGGTAAGGACTGCTTATTTACTGTATAATTATGTGTTGTGTGCTAAGTTAACTTTTTTAACATTCTGTGCGGCGGCTCCGACCCCGCACATGTGTTTGTAATGTGGCTGTAAAATATTGGCCCGATTTCTATTAGCCATATCTGGCCCGACTCTGTCTGTAGAGTCCGCGCCGCTTCTGGCAAGGACACGTGGCTTATTTAACTGATGAAGGCCGTTTAAATTCTTATTTTATTTAGTAATTTGTTAGCTGCACGTTTAGTAATAACTTAATTTGAGGAAATATCCTTGGTACGACAGCAACAAAATAATACAAATATTAGTGTGGACGGGCGCTATGTTTCGGCGCAAACAAAACTACTATTTATAAATGTATTATAATCCATGGAAGAACTTGAAAAAATTGCTGTGATTGCTAAGAATCCCAGTGCTTAACTAACGTTAATATTCTTAAAGTAACTTAGCTTTAAAAATGAACTAATCAACAATAACGTTAGTTGCTTAATGCCATTTATGTATTTATTAGCATTTGTCCACTGGATTATTAAACTTTGAAAACATTATAAAAACTGCATTAAATAAGAAACTTTCGAAAAGGCCACTTTTGTTTAGTGTCGACTTGATTAACTTTGTATTTTAAAAGCATCTGTATTCATCCATTGATACTGGAAGCCTGTGCTGGCGTTTCTCCTGCGGTGTGGCTATCAGTAGGGGGAGGGGTTGCATTAACAATCAAACACAATGGGCAGCACATTGAACACATTTCATAAGAAACTTGTAAATATCTCACAAAAGAATAAAGTTACGTTAAAACCAAGCACACCATTGCTTTTCTTGTGAAATTCCCAGTTAAGTTTGATGTCACATGACCCTCTTCCTATTGAAAAAACTAAAGTTGCATCCAAGACGCCGACTTCAAAATAGCCACCATGGTCACCACCCATCTTGAAAAGTTTAGCCACTAACTGGACATTATAATCACCATCCATATAAATGGCCCACCCTGTAGTATATGCTCAGTTTGAGTCAGTCAGTACTCAGTTGATTCTTGCAGGCTTGGAGCTTATCTTCAAATCTTTCTCAAGAACTTAAATGTGCAAAAGTTGATGAGTCTCTTTAAAAAATGGTCATACTTCCTTTTCAAGAAGAGTTTGCTCGCCTGCCATTTAAACTAATAACAAGCAAACAATTGAAATGGAAATTTGAAAATGTGTTAAATGCCACAAAACTGCTTGACACTTTATTTATTTATTATTTATTTTTTAGATATTTCAGTTTTAGCAATGTTCCATATTGTGGAGTTCACCGATACATCTGAAGTGGAGGTTGTGCCATCTTCATGGGTGGAGAATGGGTCGTGTGCTTGGCCATTTTACAAGTCAATGGCTAAGATTTATAATGCTGTCATGATGCAAGAAACTCCGGATCAATCTTGGGCAACCTTCGGGGTGCGGACTATTTACACTACAGGTATTACAGCCATTAATTAACTCTGATTGCATTTCAGCACTTGAGTTTTGGGTGGAATGTTAACAGCAGTGTGATGTTTTATTATAGACTCATACGGGGAAGCTCAACTTAAACTTCCAGAGGCAACTGTGATGTCTGTCTCGCAGACAGAGGAGGATGATGGTCACTCGTCATACCCCAAAAGAAACATCAGGTTTGTTTCTAATTATTTTAAACTCATACTGTCAACATTGTGTCTTGATCTATTACAACCTGCGAGTTTTGCCCTGCACTATACTAAAATGTTTTGTAAATGTGTCTGATCATGGTACAACAGTAGTGACGGTGATGAAGAGAACTTATCTGGAGGAATGAGACGGAGGAAAAAAGTTAAAAAGGAGGATCTTTTAGAAGTCGATGCAGCATCGCAAGTACCGTCACCACCAATGACTACCGCAGATGCTGCATGTTCCAGTACGCCCTGGAATATTTTCAGTCCTTGTTCCAGAGCAGTCGGAGATAAAGACAGAACCTGCTGCAACTCGTCATGTCTCTGTAAGAATTCAAACAATCATTACATTTGTAAAGTCTTAATGCATCTGGAAAATAAAGATCCACTAGAGAACATCAGCAGTGTTTAACCCACTGTTGTGTTTACACAAGATGAGCAAGGATTAGCTACAGCCTGATTTACAGTGATTAATTGTTGTTATTTAATTTTTAGTGCTACTGACTGAAGTGTTGAAGTCACAAGAGGTCATAAAGCAGCAACTGGAGCTGATTCTTAAAAATCAGCATAAACAGAATGGTACTCTGCAGCATGATGACATTACAGATGCAAGCACATTTGACCTTCCTCTGTCCAGTTTATTTGATTTGGAGAAGCTAGAGCATCAGCTAAACGAGCAGCCTGAACAAATGAAGAAGTTGGTGAGTTCAAGCTCTTGCGCATTTCAAACTGTTTTTTTATTTTAAGTTTAATTTTATTTCCCAGAGATGGGTTGCAGCTGGAAGGGCATCCGCTGCGCAGAAACATGCTGGATAAGTTGGCGGTTCATTCCGCTGTGGCGACCCCGGATTAATAAAGGGACTAAGCCGACAAGAACATGAATGAAGTTTAATTTTATTTCTCTGTTTGTTTGTGTTTTTGCTTCGCAGGTAGCCTACTTTGGAGTTATTGGTGGGTTTTCCATTAAAGAAGCAGTGTGGCGTATCATGAAAAAGCTGTTGACCACCTCCCTGGCTAAACAAATTAACTGGAGTGGAGCAAACCAAAAAGTGTCCTTCCGTGCACTCACCCTCAAGACTGTCGTAGTCCGTAAGTGGATTTAAAAAATACATTTACAGCTGTTTTTCATCTGGGCCAAAATACCTTTTATATGCAGAATGTGTGCATCGTTTACCCCTTTTTTATAATGTAATATTAATATTCTGGTTGTTCTGAGTGTGCCAGTTTAGCTTCAGTTCAACACCCAGTTCAGATTTGTTTATTATAATGTGTTAAACAGTGTCATGTTGGGGGCGTGTACGTAGGTCGCTGTTTTATTGGTGTGTTGCTTCACATGTAAATTAGTTTCAACTTCCCGCCCAATGCAACAAGGGGGCGGAGCCAAGAGCTCCCCTGCTCTGTGTTTGGCAACTGACAGGCAGACAGAGAGAAGCAACATGACTGAGAGGACCAGCATTCAGCCGTACATGTACGACTCGGACACAGACCAAGCAGAGAGTACACAACCATTTGTGTCTTTGTATAGTTTTACAGCCGACTGTGTGCTAGTTTCAAGTGTCGAGCTTGTACACTGAGGCCCCGTATACACTAGTGTGTTTTAGTTTTAAAACGGCATTTTAGATCAAAAACGATCTGTGTCCACTCTAGCGATTCACCTAGCGTTTCTGAACATATCTCAGTCCACACTACGCCACCAAAAACGTATATCACGTGACCATTCGCACACTCTAGGCATGCGCGTTATAGTATAAACAGGAAGCATGTGTCTCGCTCTGCATTTGGTTATTGTTAGTCAACAAACGCCGGCTGAACAATGAACAATGATGAGGTCGAGTTGTTACTAAACGTAACAAATGAATAACTGCACAATGACGCCTAAAACAGACAATAGTGCAAACAACGCTCCCATTTCTGTGTCCGTGTTGTTGTTTACAGTGAAGGCTGGTCTGCTGTCTTCCGGTAGCGTTAAAGCCTTGTGTTATAGTCATGTGATAGGGGCTTGACGAATAAGGGAAGGATACGCAATGACACAAAAGCCCCAATCAGGTAGCGAATCTTAGCAGCCCCGCCTCCGTTTTCAGATGTCTCCGTTTTCCCTCATCCACACTGAGACACAGCAGCAGCGCTTCAGAATGAAAACAGCCTCTCCAGCGTTTCCAAAATGCTCCGTTTTCAGCACTCAAACTCCGGCGTAGTGTGGACGGATGGCGTACCACAGCAAAACTTCTGCGTTTTCAAACTAAAACACGAGGCCTGAGACTAATAACCACGCACACTGAATTAACTTTGACTGTGAGCTTCCGTAACCGTGAGAAATGCAAACGGCTGAAGTTTAAGGTGGGCGCAATCAAAAGTGCACAGGTTTGCAAACCTACCTAAAGCTACAAGCAATAATTCTGATGAGAGCGTTCATGTGTTGAACCCAGTGAGCCGTACATCTAAAGATAGAGCAAGGGTGTTCCTCTGGTGTCATCGCTTTGACTCGCACGCTGAAAATGGCGGATGTGAAACAACAACTGAGGATGTGGTGATGCGTCTGTCAATCAATATTGGTGGGCGGGGGGGACCGCACTCCTACATCAACTTGCGGTCGATCTAAAAACTGCTTCACTTGGTCCAGCGTTTATATGTTGCTGAATTAAAATAAGGACTGGGTGTGTTTATATCAGCCCAATATGACGGTCTATACACTATACCTACACACATGTCTGTCCAAACAGCTGGAAAAGGCTTTTTTTTTTTTTTTTTTTTAATTTATTTATTTATTTATTTTTATTTTTTTTTTTTTCACCGTAGGTGCCCTTTACGTTATTAACCAGAGGAACAAAAAAATCTATATATAAAGTAATTTTAAGTCCCATTTAGGTTGTACTCGTGTAAGAGGAAGAGTGTGTCTTTTTCTTTAACATTTATACTTGTTCACTACTAATCATCAGTATATCTTTTAATCACAGATGCAGTGAGGTCAAATAACCATACGAAGAGCGCCACTGATAAAGAGGTGGAAAAATGCATCACGAGGTGGCTACAACTTGCTCCTGATAGGGATGGAGGAAGGAGGGGAAGAGAGAAAGCCAATGTGGCAAATGCCTAAATCACAAATGTTTTATTTCTTTTTTTTTATTTTATTCTAAAACAACATTTTAAATGCTTTAAGATTCTCTGATACTTAGCCAATGTCTTATATTTTACATGGGTGTTTTCAGTTGTTAAGCATTTTAAAACTTTATTGAGGTTTGAGAAACGTGTGTGTGTGTGTGCGCGTGTGCGTGCAGTTTCAAATTTTTCTTTAAATATTCCAGTTTACTTGATTTCTTTTACAGTGTGTAATTATTGTGCTATTTTATTGTTATATTGAAGTTGTGAATTCTTGTGCACGGCAAAATTCACCTTTATAATTTTTTTTTGATATTTGTGCCATCCAATAAACATTATTATTTATTTTGCCTTTTGTTTGATTATTTGAGATATACGTATACTGTGTGCATTTTATTCAATTGTTAAACGTAGTGCCTAGCCTACACTTTACGTAGTAGCCTGCGTTTGCTGTTTAATCAACACAAATGGTTGTAATAACGCTAAGAAAGGTGAGGGTTTTGTATATAAAGATAAGAAGACTTAATCGCCAGCTCTGGGCCGCGGCGCACAATCGGGCAGCGAGTCCACAGGCATCCGGCCCGAGTACAGCAGACGGAGACTGGCCTATGCAGCGGCAAGTCGATCTCCGGAAGGCGAGAATCTTGCCAGAACTAGCCCGAGTGTATTTTGCTATCTGGGAAAGCAAACAAAATGGCGTCTGTGAACTAATAAAAGTAAGATAAGAATTGTTTATTGAAAAAAAAAAAATTCTTTTATTTAATTTATTTTTTTACAAACGAAATTCGACTACACTCTTCAAGTGTTCGCCATATTATTCATAAACAAATACACAAGCGCAATATTTTTATTAAGTAATGCATTAATAATTTGAGCGAATGAATTTACAGTTTAATACAGTACATGTTTTATATATATATATATATATATATATATATATATATATATATATAAATATATACGCACACACACACACACACACACACATATATATATATATATATATATATATATATATATATATATTAGTTTTTGCATGTATTTGTTTTTGTATTTCTAATGCTGGAATAGAATCGTAGAAGTTTTCGATCAAATTACGACATTGAATCAATTTTTATTTGGTTCGTACGTCGGTAGGCTATAACATCCAGAATAAACCATTGATTCAATATCGAAATGGAGTGGACTCTTCAACATACGGCTACCTGACGCACCTGAAACGTGCGCGTGCTCATCATTTGAATCGATAGATTTGAATTAAATAACGGACATAAGGCAACAGTCGGAAGGGTAACCTGATGGTAACTTGAAGTTATATTCGACGTTATACATGTTGTATTTGTCGTTTTCCCAAGAATTTATGTTAAATGCAACTTAAGATGTGTAAAATAACACTTTGCCGCTTCCTATACGTTTTTAGCAAGCCTAAGTTATATGAGCGTCGCCCTGTAACGTTTAAGAGCACAGGCCGTTGACAGCAGCTAATCTATGAAGGTAAATGAAAAGCTGTTTTGGTTATTTAATTGGCGATTTCAACACGATTAACTTCACTTTATGATTCCATTGCTTTCTATTCACTGTAAAAATATAAAATGATTTGTCAAATCGACTTGAAATAAGCATAAAAACATATTGCCCCGGCAATTGGCTGCGGTTAGCAAATAGCATCGAGATTGTTTTAACACGTTATAATGCTAATGAAGGGAATCGCTGTCGGTTCACGGTTTGTTGCTCTGTTTCTTTCGACATTTAGTGGTGAACTCTTCGCCAGAGACGCTCCACAGCATTGAATGGGAAAGGCTTTGCCATTTCGTAAGTTGCCAGTCAGGTTAGTTCTTTGTGTTTTTGTTGGTGCTGTTCCTGATTTCCCTTGTTTACACATCAGGCTTGTCTGCTTTTTCTGATTTTTGTGCTGTTTTGGTGTGCATTTTTTTATTTATCTGTTTATTCAAATCAATTTTGTCTACCTGCTTCTCTTTTGATTCACGTGTCCGCAGTTTACACCATCTAACCAAATGTTTATAAACTCTTTTATTTTTCAAAATATTTTATATCATTAGGCTTTTTAGAACTCACAAGAAAAGGAAATAAAAACAAGACCATTTGCTTGATCTCAAAATACCATCTTAAAGGGGAAATGAAGCACTCAAGTTCACCTTATTTTGTGCATTGGATTCCACTTTAATGAAAATATATGAAACAAACTGGATTAATGTAACCATTTAGCAGAAAACGGCATGTTTTACTATAGATTTTAGACCTAACATTCATGTAATTCATTTAATTATTTATCTGCCCACACTATTAATTATTTACATGCATTTATTTATTTATCTATGCAGGAATTAATGGATTTATTTGCTTATTTGCGTATTTATTTATTCTTTTTGCAGCTTTCATTCTCAATGCATAATAGGTGTGTAAATTCAATCAATCTCACTTGTTTCTCAATCTCCTCGTGTCACAGAGATGCCAAACACTGATCATGACTTCTGTGCGTAGCCCATGAGGACAGAGGAGCAGCATGTGACTTATGTACAGGTATGAAGACTGTCTGACTCTGTGAACAGTATAATCTCAACACTAACAAACAGTCTTAAAGCTGCAGTAGGTGATTGTCTTCAGGAACATTTGTTGTTGTGCTGGATGAAAGTCTCTTCACAGTCCAATAGTACTGATTACAGTAAATGATCTACATGTGTTTATATGTGTTTTTATATTCAGGGTTAGGCATAAAACTAAACAATGTTCACTTCATCCAATTAAATATTGTCGGGCTGACATCTCCCATAATTTCGTTAAGTAGCTCAAACTGGTCTGCACCTGACAGGATTGCTTGTGCTGTGGGAATAAATTTCAGAATAAATCGCGGGAGTGGTCGGTAACTCTGGTGTAATTTGAAGGGGAGCAGGCGGTCTAACAATAAGCAAGAAAACACGTGTAGGCATGTGTGTGAATGAGAGAGAGAGAGAGAGAGAGTGTGCCCATCTACTGCAGCACTACATCTTCCTGTTTTATCTTTAATCAACTTAATTTTGTAAAAAAAAAAAACCTATTAACGAACTTAATCGATTTGCTTTGGGATGACATGAAGGGATTGTGTAGAACCCAGCATTTATTACTGTGCTGTAACCGGGTGGTACAACTAAGCCACACACTGTAAAATTAAATAAATAAATAAAAATAATATATAAGTGTAATGTAGATAATTCTTTTGTATATATATATATATATATATATATATATATATATATATATATATATATATATATATATATTTTTTTTTTCTTTTTTTTCTTTCTTAGTTTTAATGAAGCACTTTGTGTATACTGCAATTAAATGTACTTGTTGACACTATAGTCTACAGTTTTATATAGTGGCCCAGGGAATAAAAACCACAGTTCGGTTCCTTTGGGTCCTCCTGACCACGAATACTCTCAGCTTTGCATTTATGCAGTGTTTCTGTGCATAGTTTGTATCCATTTATCAAAAAAACACACAACTGCGCAATTGTAACTTATGAAAAAAATTATTTTTTATTACAAAATCACTAAAATTGTGACCTAAATGTAATATAAAAGATTTCTAGATATTGGTTTTTATTTTAGGAATAAAATACTTCCATATTAGGTCATAGGAAAAAGGTTTAGATTTATCCTTAAATTAGAAATAGCAATTACCACATATATCCAGCAGGGCTCCATAGACACCCATTCATTTTCAGCTTACATTTCTTGATGCTTCAGACAACTCTTCCTCACAAATTGATTATATATATATATATATATATATATATATATATAAATATAAATGTTTCAGGTATTATTTTAAATATGAATAAAATACTATAGAAATGTAAAGGTAAATGTTTTAAATGTCAGATTTTATTGACAAATATCAAGCCTCATTTGTCCAACGCCTAAAGAAAGAAATGCTGCAAACTCAGTAATTAATTAATTAACTAATGAATTAAGAAATGCACGTCCTCACAGAGGATTTCAATATCTTAACTGGGACCTATTTTACAAAAATCACTTTATAATAAGGGGTTTAAACATAACCAGTTGAATATAACCAGCTGCTAATGGTAAAAATGTAAAAAGACATTGTACATGTCATCAGACAGGGAAAGCCATTCATGATGATCTCATCCTCATTAACATAAACAGCAGCCCTGAGTGAGAAGCAACCTTTAGAGTGTTTGAGCTGCTAAAGATAATAGTCAGCATAGACTAAGAGGATACAGGAGACTTCTGCCTTCTTCTGAGGCTCCTCACGGTTTCACACAGATAAGGTTAATCTTGTTTTGAATCTGTCACTATGGTGACACACAAACATTTGTGACTCCGCCCCTTTTGAAAATCTTATTTGAATTTAAAGCGACAGTCATTAAAATGGCACAATGTGGATCTAAATCTAACATGGGCAGCTTCAGAACATTATATGTGTGGTAATTTGAGCTGAAAATTCACTACACACTTTCCGGACATCAGAGACTTCATTTACATCTTGTAAAAAGGGGCATAATAGGTCTGCTTTAATAAGAAAAAAAAACTTCAGTGGACTTAAGACAACAGGAGGTTTCATATGTTCAACTGTAATAAGCTCTACTGGGATGTAGAAGCGTGCAGTCAGGTTAAATAAGAGCAGTAATGGAGGACATCAGGCTGAACAGCAGCACCGCGGCGCTGAACTGAGTGTAGACACCAGAGTCGTGTAGCTGACAGTCGCTGTACGGCTCGATGCAGGCTGCGAAGGCCATAGCGTGAGGAATGTAGCTCTGCTCTTGCACCCCGTGGAAGAGGTGCGCCATCGGGCCTTTAGCGAAAATAGCCACATCCTCCGAGCCATGAGTTTCTGAATCAAGAGGAACCGCAGCCTGTTGGAGATAGTCATCACGGCCTGCAGACAACAGTCAGATATCAATAAACCATCTTCATTCATTCACTTTCTTTTCAGCTTAGTCCCTTAATAAGTCAGGGATCGCCACTGAGGAATGAACTGCCAACTTATCTAGCATGTGTTCTGTGCAGCGGATGCTCTTCCAGCCACAACTCAGCACTGGGAAACACCCATACATTCTTGCTTTTACAATCACTACGGCCAGTTTAGTTGATCAATTCCCCTATAGCGCATGTGTTTGGACAGTGGGGGAAACCCGAGCGCTCAAAGGAAACCCACGCCAACATGGGGAGAACATGCAAACTCCACACAGACACACCAACCGACCCAGCCAGGGCTTGAACCAGTGGCCTTCATGTTGTGAGGCGACTAAGCCATCGTGTCGCTATAAACCATCCTCTACCGTTCATATTCTCATTCTTTATGGAACGGTTTATCTCAATAAATAAAATAACTTAAGTTCATGGTGCAAAATTGTGTACACCCCAATGAATATGTTATGGAAAAAATATTTAAAAATTGTAGTAAACAGGAAAAGTCAAGCGAACCATTCAAATTTAGCTGAAATTCTGTAGTTTGTATTATTATTGTATATTTTATAATATATATTTATGCAACATTTAATTTGAATGTGAGTTTAAATGTGTTATTTTTCTGTTCCTTAAGACATTGACTAAATATAATATAAAATAATAAAATATAATATAAAAATAATAAAAAATAATATATAATAAAATGAAATAAAATATATTATAATATAAAATAATATAATAAAAAAAATAATATAATATAAAATATAATAGAATAAAATGTAATAAAATATAAAACAATAATATAATATAATATAATATAATATAATATAATATAATATAATATAATATAATATAATATAATATAATATAATATAATATAATATAGTGGGCGATTCATTCTGCTGTGGTGACCCCAGATTAATAAAGGGACTAAGCCGGAAAGAAAATGAATGAATAATATGAGGGGTGACACGGCGGCTCAGTGGTTAGCAATGTTGTCTCAAAGCAAGAAGATCACTGTTTCGAGTACCGGCTGGGTCAGTTGGCATTTCTGTGTGGAGTTTGCATGTTTTCCCCGTATTGGCATGGGTTTCCTCCGGGCGCTTCAGTTTCCCCCACAGTCCAAACACATGCGCTATAGGGGAACTGGGTAAGCTGAATTGGCCCTAGTGTATGAGTGTGTGTGAATGAGTGTGTGGGTGTTTCCGCTGCGTAAAACATATGCTGGATAAGTTGATGGTTCATTCTGCTGTGGTGACCCCTGGTAAATAAAAAGACTATGCAGAAGGAAAATGAATGTATAATATAATATAACATAATATAATATAATTAGTATCATTAAGTTATTTACATTAATATGTATTGAATATTGTTATAGTTTTTCATATATTATTCAGCATTAACGTTGTTTCAGTTTTCAGCATTATTAGTGTGTGCAGTTGTAGTCTCTGTTCACTTCAGTTGAATGGCAGTTTGTAGATTCTGCTAAATTTATATCGTGCTTCATTTTAATAGTTTAGATCAGCATGATGAGGGCAGAATCAGAATTTCATTTTTGGCTGAAGTTTAACCTTAATTTACAGTAAGAGAAATGTTTATGTGATGTTTCCCTGCAGTAACACACACAATCACAAGATGGCGCGCCTGTGTTTCCTACCTTAACCAAACCTTTACAAACGCTCTGAGAGGAAAACAGGGACAGTTCACTCAAAAATGAACACTTTTCCATAATTTATTCTCCTTTACTTGTTCAAAACCTGTTTGAGTTCATTCTTTCTTCTGAATGAAGATATTTTGAAGAATGTTGGCACTCATTAGCTGTGTTTTCATTCAATGATGCAATACTGCACCTTTAAGGCGTCCCATCACACACATTTTGATCATCACATGATCTCTTCAAACTAAAATACTCTACTGATGGACAGAGTTTATTCACTTAATATGTTTCCATCATCATTTATGAGCACGTTATTTGGTTATTGGATGGAAAATGTGCCCTACCATTAATCATTTTTCATGCCATGATCCAAAATGACACTGAAACAGGTTTATGAAAACAGCTATAGTAATTTTGGAAGTCAATGGGTGCCATCAATCAGCATTCTTTAAAGTATCTCCTTTTGTCATTAAGCTGAATCCACATGAGGGAGAGTAAATGATGAGGGCATTTTCATGTTTGGGGGAACTGAAACTCACCTGAAACGCTCTCATTGACATCAGGTCGAGTCCCGTTAGTGATCTGGTATCCTGGACCGTTTCCGTAAAGCGCATTGGTAAAACTCTTTCCATCCTCACCTTTGGCATAGGAAACACCTGGAAGAAAGAAGTAAATCTATCATCCCTGATCTCACCTTCATATTAGTTTTTACTTATAAAGTGTATTTGTTCAGGCTAGATATTTACAGAGCCCTCATTCATTCTTTATGCAATATATTATTATTTCAAACTGCTAAAATGTCAGTAAAAGTCACTTTGTTAAACTGTGGAGTTGAATTTTGACATGGACAGATCAGAGATCAGCGCCCCATCATGTAATTCACACCCTTAACAATCAGAAAGCACTTGTGAATCACACAATACGGAAACTGTCCATTATCAGATCTTTTTACAGTGAAGATCTATCTTGTCATGGCTTACCCAGCACAGGGTTTCCCCTGTAGGAGTATCCACCAAAAGAAAACACGTGTGAGTGGTCAGCGGTGACCACAGACAGGGTGTCGAGTTCGCTGGTCAGCTGTCCGGCCCGCTCGATAGAATTGTCGAACTCCACAGCTTCAGTCAGAGCGTATTTGGCCTGTCCCGCGTGATGGCCGTGATCTATTCTCCCGCTTACAGCAAAGAAATCACACACACACACACACACACACACACACACTGACTGTAAGTACAGCGCTCGGCATGAATGAACACAGCCCCTTTTCCCAGTTAATATAGACAATCATTATTGGTGCGGTTAAACTAAATAGTTTATTCAAAAGTTTAAAGAGTTAAGAGTTTGATCGCTGAACATATTTAGGAATAGAAATATAATACCACAAACTGCAAACATTTGATCTAGATTAATTATTTGTTTGTTTCTTTTAATTTTTTCTGTTTATCTACATTTTATCAATTATTATTGAGAGATCTGTTAGGCTTATACTCATTTATGCTGAACAATGTTTGCACAAAACACATTTCAGTGGCCACGCAATGGAAAAATAAAATCCACTTATCTTCCACAAAGAGGTAGAACCCATTGGGGTTTTTCCTGAGAATCTTTATGGCTTTTTCCACCATTTCTGTCAGCGACGGGTCCATCTTAGGATCACGCTCCAGCTCGTACCTGGTGTCCTTTGGCTCAAAAAGCCCTGAGCGTGCAAGAAAAACAATAGCCTTAAAGCACATGGAGAGCAACTGAATTGCGTAGTAAAATCTATTATTGATCACCTGTTGAACCCAGGAGTGTGGTTTATTAATAATCCTTCAAAGTGATTATTATGACAATATGGCCATATAAATATGCTGATTTCAGGCGGACGGATTCAATTATGGATAAAGTAACATAAAAAATAACGTAAGAAGCTAAAAGGAATGAGAACCACTGGTTTAAATGTTCAGATTTCGATCAATATAACTGGTGAAATCTTTCCCTGCAAATGAAGGAGGCGAACTTACCCATTAAATAATCTGTCTTGTCCTCATTTACAGCATCAAACTGTTGTTTATTCCACACATATTGAGCATTCTAGAGAAAAGAGCGTTTGTCAGAAATATAGTTCATCCTAAAATACAAATATACTCATGTACGTCTAAATCTACTAGAGTCTTTCACAGAACACAACAGGAGATGTTCGGCAAGATATGAGAAACCAAAACCAATATAATGAATGGGTACGCAAAGATTGCTTCACACTTTATGTGGTCTGACTGTGGTCGTGTCAGGTTTTACATCAATCACGACACGTGGTTGGTCGTTGTTACACTGTAAAAACATTCTCGCTGCCTTCAGATTTTTTAACTGAATCAAATTAACATCTCTGTTCATCTCAAATTAAACTGAACCTGTTTGAGTTTCTTTCTTCTGTTGAACACTGAAGCAAACTTTCTTTTGTGAAAAACACATACTACAGTCAAGTCAATGGTTACAGGTTTCCAACATTCTTCAAAATATCTTCTTTTAAACAGTGAAGGATGAGTACCTTCAATTTAAACCTTGTTGAACTAAAAAGAAATTGGTTGAAAATGGATTAGCTTATTCAAATAAGTTTTCACCCAGGCTCATTGGAAATGTTTTTGCTAAGAAATTGGACAAGTAGACATTTATTGAAAGACTCTTAAATACATTACCTAAGGTACATTTTTGTTGCACTTCTCAGACGACAAATCCACTAGAGAGCACTGTCTACATTTTTGTGAATCTTAAATACGTTATTTAAGCTATCTTTTGTTGCAAGTTTTAGATGACAAATTCACTAGAGGGCGCTGTCGACATTTTATGTAAATCTTTAAATGCACTACTTCAGGTACATTTTGTTGCCCGTTTAAGATGACAAATCCACTAGAGGGCATTGTCTACATTTTTGTGAATCTTAAATACGTTACTTAAGCTAAGTTTCATTGCAAGTTTCAGATGACAAGTCCACTAGAGGACGCTGTCTACATTTTTGCTAATTTTAAATACAACACTTAAGCTACATTTGTTGCAAGTTACAGATGACAAATGTACTTGAGGGCTTTGACTACATTTTTGCAAATTTTAAATACATTATTTAAGCAACATTACTGATCATAAATATCATTAGTGTTTTACTGTGATGCTGTATGTATTTCCAATGAGCCTCAGCACTTTCCTAAAATAATTTTGATCACAGTTTAGTTTAAGAACCAATTCTCACTTTTAACTAGTGGCTTGTGACATGTACATGCCTGTTGTATTATTAATACTTATGATGCACATATTCTGTATGATCTTATTCTACATCCCCAATCCAAAACCTAAACCCAACTACTTAGCTATAATAACTATTATTAAGTTAATTAGGCAAAATTAATAATTAATGGTTTATTTATAGCAATAATTGTACCTTAAAGTGAAGTGCGATCAAATCTATTTCTGGAAAAATTGTCATTTGTAGAAGGTGACCTACTTTTCTGTTTTTTAGCCACTCATCAACAAGATTTCTCTTGTCTTTCCGGCTCCCTGTGACTGTGGAGTATTCAGGATCAGTGGTTTCCCGAGGAAACATATACTGCCTGCCGCCACCTAAAATAACCTGCAGCACAATTAAAGAGGAATGATGTCAAAAACGACAACAAATTAACATCAAGCATGACTTCAAGAAACACTTAAAAAGGTATTATAAATAAAAAAATTGATAATTATAATATATATAATGTAAAATAACATCAAATCACGTCAGAAACACACGTCATGATTACTATAATGAATTAAAAAAATTTCACACCAGTTTGCTGTTTTTTTGACATGTTTTTAATCTTGTTTTGACATCAAATCAATTGTTTAAAAATTTTCTTTTCATTTTCCTTTGGCTTGTTCCCTTATTCATCAGGGGTCGCCACAGCAGAATGAACCACCAGTTATTCCAGCATAAGTTTTACGCAGTGGATGCCCTTCCAGCCCCACCTCAGAACTGGGAAATTCCTGACATAAAGGTAGCCCAATTTTTGCTGTTTCTGACATGTTTTTGGTGTTGTTTTGACATCATGGTTGCCCGCTGACATCAAATCGATTGCATTTTTGTGTTTTTTGATGTGTGTTTTGATGTGTGTTTTGATGTTATTTTGCAACCCAGGCTCATTCTGAAAACATTAGGGGTGTAACGGTTCACAAAAAATCACGGTTCAGTTTAATACGACACAGTGGAGTCACGGTTTGATATGTTTTCAATGCAGCAAAAAAAGAAAAAAGCCGGAGGATTTCTCTGATTTTAATTTACCAGACCTATTATTAGTGAACAATAATACCTGTGCTGTTCTCACGGGTGCTGTCTGATATTGCACAGATGATACTGACATATAACTTAATATTTGCATACGTCATCTTAATAGCAGTAGCGGTCTGTTCATGAGCTGCAGTATTAGTTTCATCTCAGTGAATGCATGCTCTTTAGCGATGGTGAGCGCGCGGTATATCAGTCGCCATCCCACCTGCTTTACAGTGAATGCTTTAGTCATTTTAATAGCAGACTTTAACCACTGGAAGTCTTTTATCCACTCTTGGAAAGGTGTAAATGCTGGATTGACATTCAGCACATGATCACAGATGTGTCATTATCAGTAACTTTAGCTGCTTTATAAAACTAAATCTGTCAGTGTTGTTTTCATTCTGTCGTTTCCACACCTTTACGTTTTTTCGCTGCTGTATCTCCCGGTCATCGGAACTGAGTGATTAACAGCTGATATTAACCAATCCATTCGCGTTCGGCTCTAGCAAAGTGGGCCAATAAGAAGAGCTTGAAGACGGGGAAAGCATTGCGGGCTTTGTTTACTGCAAGTTGACATGTCGACTGTTTTAAACCATTCCCGAGCGCTGCTTCTGCTGTTTTTTTGGTGCAAAGATGCTTAATTGGCGTATGCCTGCTATTTCCGCACACATGGTGAATATTTTGCTGTGAAAACTGGTCGCTCGACATCAACCTTATGCACTCCCAAATATATTTTGACGTCACATAGATAAAAATTCGGGTGTGTATGCCACCAAAACCGTTGCAATTTTGAGCCATGTCTCATATCCACAGCTATAAATGTACTGAAACCAAAGTGTTCCCCAATGCCAGACCCGCTGTTGGTCATAGAAGGATTACATTAACTTCATAGCCATTTTGAGAGCTAGCGCAGCGTTTGCCTGACTGGAGTAGTGTTTGGAGGTGAGCGGGGAAGGCAGCGTCGTTTGGGATGCCTTGTTGAGCGTTGTTGCACTGAAAACATAATATTCTGTACACTTATTCTCTTTTATCCTTTTAGATATTAGTCTGAATCGTTCGGTTTGTAATGTGTACTGAACTGAAAGTCTTGCACCAAATATGTCTCAGGAGGCAAGTGTTTAGCTGATAAGTGCAAATCGGAGAGACGTCACTTTTTTAGCTTTCATTTGAAGACAAAATGCAGCCATACGTACTTCTGACTACATATCTCGCGATTCCCAGAAATGCATATAGGAGTACATTTTCAGAAAGAGCCTGTGTTGTTGTTTTGACATCACGTTGCCCACTGGAATAGTGATGAGAGACAGACTGCCATTTATCTGTGTTAAACTTATCATCTTACGTTTATATCCGTGTTAGTGATGAGCTGGACTGCGATATCTTGGCATCCTCCTGCCACGGCTTCAGACGTCAGCTCTTTATCGCTGTACCAGCCTCGCTCAGGGGTGTGCGAGTAACTGGCGGCGGGCGACGCGTGCTGGACACGTGCTGTGCTCACTATACCGACAGACTTCCCTGGAAAACACAAGGACAGCCTGTGATGTGGATCCAGAGAAGGTATTTATTGTAAGTTATTGATGTCAATGTTATTGCCTTGCCACTGATTAGAGTTCATCTGTAACTGCCCATTAAACACTAGATGATGTATGCCTGCCATAAAGCAGTAAAGCGTGGAGTCTCGATAGTTCAAAGTTTGTCTGCAGTCAACAGCAGCAGTATTTTTAGACTGATAATGCCAACATAATTAGCTTTGAATTGAGTTTATGTAAGCTCATTATAAATTATCTTTTAAAAACTTTCAAAAATGGATTAAAAAGTCAATATTAAACATAAATGTGTTGCTTGACACAAAGCATTTAATTACCTCACCTAAACCTGTTGGATCTGTTTTGACTATTGCTCATTTTTTTATGACTGTGCCCATAGTTTTTCCTTCAGCTTATTTTCAGCTTAGTCCCTTTATTAATCTGCAACCCATCTCTGGGAAACATTCATACACTCGTTCACACTCATACACTACTGACAATTTGGCCTACCCAATTCACATGTACTGCATGTGTTTGGACTGTGGAGGAAACCTACGCCAATGCAGGGAGAACATGCAAACTCCACACAGAAACGCCAACTGACCCAGCCGAGGCTCGAATCAGTGACCTTCTTGCTGTGCGGCGACAGCACTACCTACTGCGCCACTGCGTCACCCATCTGAACGACCACTTTGTGAATTAACATGTCTTGTTTTGGTCCTAAAAAATTAACATTACAGAAATACATCAAGTCACAAAGTCTGAGTTTCGGGATTCAAACTCAGGACACTTGCAGCAGAGTTAAGTCCGCTACGTAATGGGTTCCCCAAACTTTTAAACCCGCGACCCCTAAAACAACAATGCCAGTGACTCGTGACCCCCAATATACTCTGAGGGGTTATGAATATACAAAAAGGCACTCATCAAGTAATTGCTTTGTACTGTTTTAATTTTTTCTTTTTATATTCTTCAAGTGATTTAAAGACACACGTTTCAGCACAATGCCTTTCTCAGTGTGTAACACCATGTCGAAACTTCAGTTCCCGTACGCCATCTCTATTTGCCGCCTGCCCTGACCTTTTGCCTGTTTATGGATTACTGCCTGCTGGCCATTCTTTATCATACATACACTGCATTTGGAAACCACCTCTGTTTCCACTCTTGAATCATTACTGCAATGATGAAAAATATATTTCTATTTAGGCTTTACCTGCCATCTTGGCCTGATGAAGGATGGATTTGACCTCGTTGCCTTTAACGGAGCTGCAGACTTCTCTCTGCGCAGCCGCACTGAGTCCCAGAGTGCCGTAGTTTGCCTTCACACCACAGAGATACGCAGTGGCCGTCGCTGCACTGTCAGGCATCTGCTGGTCCACATTATAGGTCTACACAGGGACAAACACAATCAGATCAAACATTTCTATCCAAATGCTGGATAAAGTCATGCAATGAGTTTTGCGCACCTTGGACAAAGCGAGGTACGGGAAGGTGTCCATGGCTAAGACACTTTCTTCTCCTGTTTTCTTGTTCATCTGTCCCTTCAAGACTCTTGCTGCGGTCACGGTGCTGATTCCCATGCCTTATTATTGCACATCAACAACAAAGAGATGTGTCATTTAAAAATCTGCGTGGATTTAATGTCTGCTTTGCCAGTGCACATTGTTATTCTTTAGGTAAACGATTAATACGTGCAAGTTAAGAGACATGTAGTACATTAGAGGCTAACGTAAAGTTATGGAGACCCAAGTGTCAATATGTTGCAAGATTGCGCTGTACATTAGTTATTAATGTCTACACCAACCTCACACCTAAACTCAGCCATCACAGTTCATATTGTCCACACCTTCCCCAACCCTCAACCCAACCATCACAGTTACTAACATTTACACCTTCCCCAACCCTAAACCAAACTATTACAGTTCACAACAGATACACCTTCCCCAAAACCTAAACCCAACCATCAGAGTTATTAACGTCTACACCTTCCCCAACCCTCAACCCAACTCTCATAGTTATTAATGTCTATACCCACCACAACCCTAAACCCAACCATCACAGTTCACAACCTCTACACCTTCACTAACCCTAAACCAAACTATTACAGTTCATAACAGATACACCTACCCCAAAACCTAAACCCAACCATCAGAGTTATTAACGTCTGCACCTTCCCCAACCTTCAACCCAACTCTCATAGTTATTAATGTCTATACCCACCACAACTCTAAACCCAACCATCACAGTTCACAACCTCTACACCTTCACTAACCCTAAACCCAACCATCAGTTATTAACATCTACCTGCTACCCCAAAACCTAAATCCAACCATCACAACCTTTAATTATTAATGTCTACACTTTTATTAGTTGCATAGGCTTTAATACCTGGTGTGCTCGTCATAGTACTGTTATTTGCAACCACAGAGGGGCGATGCTGAATTGGTTTACTGTCATGACTAAACAGATGAAGAAGTCAGAGAGTTGCATGATGGAGTTGCTAAATGAATTAATATAATTATTACAAGTCACACCTCTCTAACTTACTACAAGTTACGCCGCTTCATGTTACTCCCCCATCTTGCAGTCTGCAGACAGATACACTTGAATAAATCCACTGTCAGCACGAAACTAAAATGTCCTGCTTTCACTCAAATTAGACTTTAATTTCTATTGTTTATGCACTAATATTGGTGTAGATTTTTAGTATTTAGTTAAGTAATTTAATTCCGTTATTTACTTTTTTAGACTAAGTAATTAGAAAAGTATCTTAAATACAACTGTATCGATGTGATTGGTAATGCATTACTGTTTTGAATGAACTTTCCCAATATTGACTTTGTTGCAAAAAATACAAGATACTAGTTGTAATCAAGACATAAAGTTGCTCAAAGTCGATATTAAATTGCACTTGACATATAAAGTCACAATATGAAATGCAATGCAAAACAATCTATATTGTGGAAAATTAAGCTGAAACTGTGAGATTTAGGGCCCTATCCTACACCTGGCATAATAAAGCACAAGATGTGTTTGCCCCGGTTTGCTCCGACCTGTTGCTATTTTCAGACTAATGCAACCTTAATTTTCCTGTTTTCCACCACATTGTTTAAATAGCAATTCCATTTGCACCACTTTTTTGCACTCATGGGTGTTCAGGTTGAAAAAAGAGGTGTGTTAAGGCGCATTGCTGGCGCGTTGCTATTTTGAGGAACTATTGTAGACTGTGCAATAGACCAACTGAGAGGAGGTCTAAAATCCAGAGCAGAGTGCGTTAGTTGTGCGCCTCCTTTACACATTGCTTAATACACACAGGATATACAGCAACACACAAATATCTTTACAAATGAAAAAGAATTAAAATATTACAAAAAATATTACTTTATACAGAAATATAAACACCACCGCCTCCATGCCATCCTCATCTTGGGGGGCTTTTTCAGTTTATTCACGAGAATTTGCTTATGTATAATGTTATTATTATTATTATTAGCAGTATTATTTATTATATGCATATTTATATTTGTTTTATAGCATGTGTGTTTGGATGTAACTCCAACATCTTTTGACCACACTTCATTATTATTGTTCATTTATTTGTTTGCTGGAGATTAAACTGAATTTAGAAACAGTTTTAAAACAAATCTTTGCGCTTAATAAAGGAAATGAAATATGTAGGCTAATGGATGTCTGTGTGTACAACACGTTTCCTTATCCACGAAAGACATAGAGGAGGAGGCTGGTTCTTTATCCTCGCCATAGGATATGAATTTGCAACTGGGCCACAGTGTTATATATTACTGTGTCTGATAGTATATGATAAGTAGATTAGATTAGATGAAATATGCAAACTGATTATATTCCAACTCTATATACCGTGTATATATATACTCCTATACAAACTCTCAAACTGATTATGTGCTAGGGAAACGTGCTGTAAGTACTGATTATCTAATCTAAAGTTGTTTGCACACTGTGCTTTTGTTTCTCTGTCCAACACGTGTCAGATATGTACCATGTGAACTCGTGAGGTTTTGGGCAAAAGAGAGGCAGACTGTGTGGCGTCAATAATCATTTATAGCAGAATATACGATACACATTTTAGGACTTTGATCAGCATTCACAGTGTTTACACTGATACACTTACTTAAATATGTCTTATGATAATACCATGTAGGCACATTTATACAGTTTAAAACTTTTACAACAACCGTAAAGTAAAACAGATGTATTTCCCATGTAAAAATGATCCAAAAGGCATGTAGGTCTATGTGTTTTTGCGTATTTATTGGTTTATAATATATAACTTTGATTATAATATAATAAACAGAGAGATTAACTCTGTCATGGACATTATTTATAAAAATAAGCTTGAAACGTCTGTAGCAGGGTGGTGCTGACTTTACAGGCGTGCGCCCTGAAGGTACTGTGGTCAATTTATAGCCTAATGTTAGCTTTTCAGTTCTTGCGTTTGCATTTAAGATCCAAAAGTGCTCAAAGTTGTATTTTGGTGTGAGGATTATCTGGCTGGACTAAACGTGTAAGTGTAATGACCAGTGTTTGAACACAGAGCTTATTATTCGCAATCTTCAAAAAGCCTATGGGAAAATCCTATAGGGATTTAATCGAGGGAACCAGTTTTATGCTAGCAGCAAATTAGCCTACAAAGTGACGTCATAGTTCCTCCACTCTATTATTACCTGCCTATTATTAAGATATGAACTATTTATTAGTTCTTAATGATGATCTTATTCTACACCTCTAATCTTAAACCAAACTGTAAAAAATGTATGACAAAAAGTCATAACTGCAAATGTTTTTATGTTACTTGAACTGGTTTCAATGAGTTAATCAGGTGTTAAATATGTCTTTTTAAGACATGAAAGTTTAACTTAAAAATTTTATTCAGCTTGATTGTAAAAATTGAGGCAGCGAGACCTGTTTTTGTAGTTCATTGAGCTAAAAGTGTTAGTTAACAGTTTATTAATAGTGTGAATTGTACACAAAAATATCTGACATTTAAATTTGACGTTTTTGCTGAAGTTTGGATAATTTGAAAGGTAAATTCCTGCATTTAAAACAGAACAGAACAATGCAAAAATACATAAAAAACCTGGGAAAACAACATGTTTTGTTGAACTCACCATCTCCGAGGAAGAGGATGAGGTTTTTGGCGCGGTGCGTGTTGAATGTCATTGAGAGCGATGCGTGTAGAGAATCTTTAGCCTTTACATACCAAAAGTTTGGGTTCTTCTCCTCCTCTTCAGGTGAATTCCAGAAAATAAACATCGTTTCATTCTCTTTGCTTTAAGGATAATTGCGAACCATGAAACAACACTTACCAGGAACAACGGAGAAACATCCATCGAATCCTGCTGATGCGAATATTCCAATGAGCAGCAGGGCTTGTGTTTTGGCCATGATTGAGCTTCTGGAGATCTGCATGCCTGAAGCTCACACTGATGTTTATATTCTTCAGTCCGACCAAAGGTTAGCACTCGCACTTCTGCTACATGAGCGGTTTATCATGTACTAATCATATATGACCTTATGATACGATTATCAGTGGGGAAGCTCTTCCCAAACTGTGGCTTGGTAATCTACAAGCTAATCATCATGGAAAGCTGGTGAACTACTGTCAATAGTACTCTTCTGAAAAAGTAGCATGTACCATTGAAGATAATTGAGGTAGTTCAGTATCATGTGATTTACCTTCTCTGTGTGATCTGATTGGTCGGGAATCACAGGACAAGAAATAATACAGTAGTGACTGCAGGATGAAGGACAGTAGTGGAGTAACAGTACACATACTGCAGTAAACATGAACTCAAGGGAAAGTAAAAGTCCACATTTATAAAACTACTTAGTAAAGTACAACTCCTGAGAAAAACTACTCAATTACCGTCATCTGAGTATTTGTAATTAGTCATCTTACACCACTGCTCAAAATACATGTTAAGAACCTACTATATGCCAGTTAGCAGTTAAATATACCATGTAACCTGTTCTTTAGTCGTTGCTCCTCTTAATGTATTAACATTTCTGCATTTACACACTGTAGCCTGCAATGCATTGAAGATTTATTAGTTCACGGATACCCTTTATACAACCAAGCCCATGTAGCCATAACGAAATCACATGTAACTCAGATTGTTTTTCGTATTCATCATGTGCTAATAATATGCATCGTTCTTGTTGAACTTTTACACTAATATCAGTTTCTGACAGCAATTTTAATCACAAACACCGATAACACAGACTAATATTTCCTTGTAGAAGTTTATTGGTCTCACGTGTTTGAGCAATTTGTGATCACAGTGCAAAAGATTCGTCAGCTGCGCAATATATACAAACATATCTGGATGTGGTGAAAAAACAACAACTTTACATTTATGTACACGCAGCAGTGCACTGCAAAAACTTCAGTATGAGCTACACGGGCTGTTCAGCATCTTCGGAGTGCCCACATAAAGTGGAGTCTGTCATCTCAAAACAAGCCAAAACACGCCGGTTAGAGAGATCAGAGTCAATGAAAGAGGGGTTTTCCAGCCTGCAGAGCTGTACAGATCCAGCGGGCAGTTGGTGTACGGCTCAAGGCATGCTGCGTAAGCCATGGCATGGGCCACATAGTTCTGCTCTTTGACTCCATGAAAGAGGTGTGCCATTGGGCCTTTGGCATAGATAGCCACATCTTCCCCTCCGTGTGTCTCGGATTCTAAGGGAACCGCAGCTTGTTGCTTGTACTCTTCATCATCTACCAAGAGAATTAGGTATGGTGTTAGTATTTGACAACAATCCACACCCACTTGCTACTTTAAAGGGCTCCTATGATGTAAAATCAAGATGTTTAGACAGAACTGTGTGTGGTATAGAGTGTCCACAGTCATATTGGAGTGCAATAAACACAGGAGTCTATTTTTTTAATTTCCGGACATTAAGATAGGATTTAAATTTCAGAGATTTTGAGATGAGCTCATGTTTCACAAACTGATTATCTTCTGGAATTTTCCTGCGCCTTCATTTGCATTTCTTCTTTTTTTTTTTTAAAAGAGATTAAATTTAATTGAAAGTTCTGTGGGTGAAAGTCTTTGAGTTAAGAGAAAAAGCAGATAGAGCTGATGGAAGACAGTTAAAAATCAGACAACACAACAAGGTCTGCAGAAGAAGAAGATCAAGAGGATGAAGAAGTATAAGACAAATGTGGAAAAAGAAGATACATGATAATAAAAATGAGAAGAAAAAGGAGGATTAAGTGAAGAAAGAAATGTACAAGATGAAGAATTAGGAGCTGAAGGAGAAGAAAAATAAGAAGGAAGTAAGAAGTAGAAGACGAAAACAAAGTACATGAAAGAGGAGGGAAGAAACCAACACAGGCTCATTCTAAATACGTGCCCCTGTATACATTTCTGGAGAGCGCCAAATATGTCCCAGGAGCTACGCTTTTTTGCAGTTTCTCATTTCCGCAAATCCATCAGAGGCCGCTTTGTGCCTTTATCAGATCTCAAATTTCTCTCGAGTGCCATTCACGCTTGCTGTTCTCACCGAAAGCCACCAGAGGCTGCTGTCGACTGACTGATTGACTGTCCGATCGATTAACTAAGCCCACACGGATTTTTAGCCCATTTACTTGTGTAAATGTGTGTAAACTTATATTTTTTCAGTTTTTAATTATTTTCAGTAATATTATTGACTAATATGAAAATATTCATGTGATTTATTTACAGTGCAGCTTGTACAGTCATATTTTCTTTCTTTTAGTAGAGATATTATATGAGAGACTTGCTTTGTTTACCAAATGAAGTGGATCTAATTGGATTTGTATTGTAAACATAAGTTTTTAGTTCATATATCAGGTTTGAGTTATGATACTCCCAAAATCATTCCGCCTAAATTCGCAAATTTTTACCAAAATTCTGCGCAGAAATAACAAAATATGTTCGCAGATTCCATCTGGCGCTACCAATATCCCATTCTCCTCCTTTTCTAAACCCAAGCAATAGTGTTTTCTCAAGCACCGATTGACCCGACCACCATACCTGTCAACATTGGGATGTGAAAATAAGGGATTTGCCCACCATAATAAGGGACGGATGAATGATTTATTTAGATTTCTTTCATTTGATTACATTAAATAACAGAGGTGTCACTTAAACAATGCAAACATCTAACGTTATAATGAAGGCAATCCATTGCTTTCCTTACTTAATATGCTCAAACTGTGCAGGGCTTCGGCCCTCCAGGAATTGAGTTTGACACCCCTGATTTATTACTATGAAGCACATCAGCTGACAGTCACGCACCGCTATATGACGGTTTTGAGGATTGCATATGAAGGGGAGACTGCACCTGTAATGAAAAAGAAGGGAATCGCGCCATTTTTGTATTTATTTTAAAGTGTTTTAATGCCTAAACAAGGCAAAAGCACAGGACAGAGTCGTATTTAGGAGCAAGGGGCAGCACCTGTTGTTTTGGCGGTATGGGTAGCGTATAGAGAGGCTCAGTTCTTTATTATTTTAATAATGTTCAGAGAAAGACAAAAAATATGGGAGAAATACAGGATAGTACCTTTACGGGATGATAGCGGGATAGAACTGTAAAATACGGGAGAATCCTGGGAAAAACGGGAGGGTTGACAGGTATGCCCACTACCCACTTCCCTAAACCCAGTCTACAGTTTTCAAAAGCAATCCAGAAAAAGAAAATCCCTCGCCTAATTTTACCATGTTTTCAGATTTTACCACATTCTCACCCTGTTATATACTTTAACTTTTTGGCTTCGGTCTTAACCATGTTCTGGAACTGTTCTTCGCTGGACTCCAACCTTTCCATCAGGGTCAACTCCTCTGTGCATCTCAGGTCTACCGACATACATGGTGAGCCACTGGACAAACTAGTATAAGTGGGAAAGCCATCCATACAGGGGAAAGAGGTCAGCTGGTAAGCACCTAAAGCAGGGGTGTTCTAACCCTAACCCTAGCTCCAACTTCTTTCAACAGACCAGCCTGGAAGTTTCTAGTATACCTAGAAAGAGCTTGATCAGCTGCTTCAGGTGTGTTTAATTGGGGTTGGAACTAAAATATGCAGGACACCGGCCCTCCAGGACCGAGTTTGGACACCCCTGGCCTAAATGAAGAGCATCATACCACCCAGTAGCATTCATTTTAAAGACAAAATGCAAGCATAAATACTTTTGGCTACATATTTTGCGATCTCCAAAAAATGTATATAGGGCTACGTTTTCAGAATGAGCCTATGTTGAAAGAAAAAAGAAGACGTGTAACACTTCTATCATCAGGAAAATCAGGCTGTATTCCCATATACTCAACAAATCAAGTCAGTATACGATTAGACGCTTGATCTGAAGTGTTTTGAAGTGTGCTATGACACTCGGTATAAAACAAAAAAGGCATAACCAACATTAAAGCATGGAGACGTGTTGTGGTGTTATCTGAGATTCAGGCTGCTGCTGGTGATGTAATGCGAGACATCACAGCCAATCACTTTATAACCACAGTTTACCAAGCTTACCCAAGCAAGATAATGTCCCAGATCTAAAGACAAAAGTTCTTATCGCAAAAGGGCAAGATGTACCTAATAAAGTGGGAAGATATTTCCTCTGCAATGCTAATCAAGTAACACAGGCTTATCCTGAAAACGTAGCCCTGGAGATCTCGAATTATGTAGCCAGAGCTATGTGTGGCTGCATTCCATCTTTAAAACGAACGCTACGTATGACGCTGTTCAAATTCTTGCTTACCAGCTGAACACTTACCTCCGTGTTGACGACTTTTCCGCTGTTACCAGTTTGTCCAGTAGCTCAACATGTACGTCTGCAGACTTGAGACACAGAGAGTTGACTGCAAACTACGGAAGTTAAGTCTGGTGAAGAACAGTTCCAGAAAGCAGGTATGACAAAAGCTAAAAAATTAAATAAACATGTAAATAACACAGTGAGAATGTGGTAAAACCTGAAAACATGCTAAACATCAGGCGAGGGCTTCTCTTATTAGGGACAGAGCTCCAGAACGATGATGATGATTCTTCTTTACAAGAATGAATTGCCTTTTTGAGGGTCTAAACATGCCCGAAAACTCACGAAACTTTGCACACGCCCCAGAAGTGGTGAAAATTTACATTTGTTATGGATTTCGGAAGTGGGTGTGGCAATATGACTTTACAGCACCATCCGTCATGCCAAATCCTACAAAAAAGTCTCTTGGAGCAAATTCTTAAACCCAACTGGAAGTCGGATATTTTTAACTTCCTCTGCCGAAAAAGTGACGTTTTTGCCATTTCCAGGCGTTGTATTTCAACGAACTCCTCCTAGGGGTTTTATCAGATCAACACGAAAGTTGGTTTTGTCATCTAAAGGCCTTGGCGATGTTAAATTGCGAAGATCAAGAGTTTTTGTGATAGGGCCTGTTCGCATTTCGCGCTACACCACTACTTATAACTTGCAAAAAGCAATGTCTGACCTGTCTGAAAATTCACAGGTTCGATGGGATTCTTGTCCTGAGAACATCTACCTGCCAATATTGAGTCACAGTCATAGCACCACCTGCTGACTGAAGGCAGTTTAGCATAAATCTGTGTGATTTTTCTCAAATTTTTATAATATACATCAGCTTAAGTTATTGTTGTGCATTGTTCTCTGTCATCCTAAGGCCACCGGGTGGTGGTGAGCCCAAGTGTGAGGTCCCTTTCATTGCCGTTTGTTCTGGATTGCTTTTTAAAACACTATCGGTTGGGTTTAGGGAAGGGGGAGGGTGAGGGTAATTGGTTAGTTGGTAATTCAGTTGACAGCCATGATGGCACTTGCGAGAGAAATTTGAGGTATGAAAATAGCGTACACAGCGGCCTCTGGTGGATTCACGAAAACAACAACTGACAAAAAAAACCTAGCTCTGTCACACCTGCTGCAGTGCCCTCTGGTGGTCTTCAAGGGTACCAGTTTTACGTTTGTATCCTAGTCATGTGATCACTCCTTGTTTTAAGCTGTTCCTCATTTTCTAATTAGTTCAGTCTTTATAAGCCGTTATGTTGTGTTAAGTTTGCCTTTACATTTGCAATGTTCTGTCCTGCTTTATTTGTGATCCAGTTTATCGAGTTTGGTTTGTTTGTTCACTTTGTTTAGTATCATTACTATGTTTTTGGATTCCTGTTTAGTTTTTGTTTGATTCACTCTTGTGCTTAATTTGTGCACTTCACATTTTCGTCAATTTTAGTACCCTTTAGTCACTTTTTTTGGATCTTTTGCTCTCTCCAGAAATGCATACTGGGGTACATTTTCAGAATGAGCCTGGGTCGTAATAAAGGACCTTCATTTTCAAGAGAACATTGTGGTCAAACTTACAATAATCCAAAACGGAAACATTTCCTCTTGTTCCGTTCACATGATCGTATCCTGGCCCGTTCGCATACAAGATACTAGTGTATGGAAGATCATCTTCAGCCTGTTTAGGTGCCAGACCTGGAAAATAAAAAGATAAATTCGCATACTGCTTAGTGCTGCTCAGAGCTGGCCTTTTTATTAAGCAATTGTTAAGAGTATTTAATTGTAAACATATACACTCATGTGCTTGTGACATAGAGCAGAGAGGGAGAGGCTGTGACGGTGTTCAAGATGTAGAGCAGGGGGTGATGGTTGATTTGACTGTTCGAGATGTAGAAGACTGTGTTTGCAATGTAGATGAGGGGTTGTGTTGATGGTGTATGAGATTAAGAGTGTTGGGTGGGATGTGATGGTGTATGAGATAAATAGTAGGGGATTACATTGAGTGTGTTGGGGATAACAGTGTTGATGAGGTAATCTTCATTTTTATGTTGTTATTTGAATGCCATAACAGGGCATAAGCTAGGACGTACCAAAAATTGGGTTCCCCCGAGGAGTTTTTCCACCAAAGGTGAAGACATGGGAATGATCTGCGGTGACGACAGTGAGCGTGTCTGATTCACTGGTCAGCTCGGACGCTCTCTGAATCGCCCGGTCGAACATGATGGTCTCTGTCAGAGCAAGTTTGGCCACCCCGTCGTGGTGTCCGTGGTCTATTCTGCCTCGTAGAACACAAACATGTTCTGCTGTTAGTCGGATATATAGTTTACGCAGTAAAACCACTGGAAATGATAAACACTCATCTTCCACAAAGAGAAAAAAGCCTTTAGGGTTCTTGCTGAGGATTTGAATGGCTTTCTCAGTCATGTCCACGATGGAAGGATCACGTGTACGATTCCTGAACACCTCAAATCTCATATCTTTGGGCTCAAACAGGCCTGAATAAGAAATATGAAGCAAAATGTCATTAAAAGAAGCTGATAATAATTCCAAAATGTCCATATAAACTACCATATAACTATACTATAAAGTAATTATTAGAAAATACTGTAGTGTTTTGAACTATACCATAGTTAAGAAATATACCATATAGAAATATACACAAACTTCCAAATACAATTATAGGGTATATTATACTACAATGCACCTCTGATTACTGTAGTAAAATCTAAAAAAAATTCTACAGTATTTATTACAGTTTATCAGTTCAATATAGTTAAGGTTTGCTGGAAAGCATTAAAATATACAGTGCATGTGGACAGTATTGATAGCGCTTCTTTTCCATTGTCATATATATATATATATAGTATACTAGACTTGACCTTAGTCTTATTTATAAACACTTTAGTATTATAGTACTAATAATTATTATAATATTAAGTACTATAGTATTTTGTATTTATAGTATTTTTCATGTGGATATGCATTAGTTTACAGTATATGAGCACAATACAATAAATAAACTCTGAATGTGATTTTGGATGAACAGGCTGGATACCTGGACTACCCAGTAGACCACTGAACTGCTGGTTTTATTCGTTCTGAAAGGTAAATTCTGAACTGGCCTTACCCATCAGGCAGTCTGTTGTTTGAACATCCACTGCATTGAACTGCTCTTTGTTCCAAACGTACTGGGCGTTTCTTCCCTAATAAACCAAGCAGATAATCACGTCAGATTGCAGCAGTGGGTGGTTTACGATCACCATTTGTGCTGTGATAAATGCATTTCTCTGAAATACCTTGCGGGCATTGAGCCAAACGTTAATAAGATTTTTTTTGTCTTTTCGATCTCCTTTGTGAGATGATGAGGAGTATTCTGGGTCAGGGGTTCCCTTGGGTGTCATGTACATCCGGCCACCGCCAAGAATGACCTATAACAGAGACACACGCGTGTGAAATTTAAGTCTTGCATTTCAGTTATTTAAAGTATGCTTTCGTAGGTAACACCTTAAAATGATGGTTTATTAGTTAGTGTCCATATGTTAGTATTTACTAAGATTGAACAATACCTGTGCAGCATGCATTAATCATAGGGCAAAATCTACTAAATAGTGCATTATTAAAATCCACAGCTGTGCTTGTTAACGTTAGATAATGCACCGTGAGTTAACATGAACTAACTACACTGTAAAGTTCATGGAGAAACTTTGATGTTGGCTTGAGAAAATCTGAAGCTAGATACACTACCTGACAGAAGTCTTGTCGCCTATCCAAGTTTTAGGCACAACTAATAAGTTGACTTCTAGTTGATGATTTGATGATGAAGTGTCTCTATGAAAGGTGAAGGCCTCTAGATTTTGCTGGTTTGAGCTCAATAAATCTGATCATGTCTTGATGTTGACTGATTTGATGAGGACAGTGCGGTCTGACTCTGCTCAGACTAAAGTGTCATCACTGAACAGAAATAATGTCCAGTATAGAATATAAAGTCCTGCTGCAGTGGAGACAGAATGAAGATTGTGTCTGACTCCATCATGAGCTTGGAGGACTGCATCCATACATCTCTGACATGACTCACATCACTGATTAATAAAGTCATCTGGAATGAAGAAGAAAGCTTCAGCAGGATCCCAGAGTTCATCAAGAGTCTTTGTGTTCATCTTCAACACCTCCTTCTTCATCAGCTCAATAATGTTGATGTCTGGTGACTGGGCTGGCCAATCCTGGAGCACTCTCTGCTTTCAGGAGCTTTGATGTGGAGGCTGAAGAATGAGCAGGAGCGCTATCCTGCTGGAGAATTGTCCCTCTCCTGTGGTTTGTAATGTAATGGGCAGTACAGATGTCTTGATACCTCAGGCTGTTGATGTTGATCATCCACTCTGCAGATCTCTCGCACACTCCCATACTGAATATAGAACCCAAACCATTTTGTCTCAAAATGTACTGGAAGGCGAGGCAGTGGCGCAGTAGGTAGTGCTGTCGCCTCACAGCAAGAAGGTTGCTGGTTCGAGCCTCGGCTCAGTTGGTGTTTCTGTGTGGAGTTTGCATGTTCTCCCTGCGTTTGCGTGGGTTTCCTCCTGGTGCTCCGGTTTCCCCCACAGTCCAAACACATGCGGTACAGGTGAATTGGGTAGGCTAAATTGTCCATAGTGTATGAGTGTGTGTGTGAATGTTTCCCAGAGATGGGCTGCGGCTAGAAGGGCATCCGCTGGATAAGTTGGCGGTTCATTCCGCTGTGACGACCCCAGATTAATAAAGGGAATAAGCCGAAAAGAAAATGAATGAAGCTGGAATTTAGCGTTTTTTTTTTTGTGAGTTCTACACTTGCCTGTCTAATGAATGTATTCACTATAAATAACTAACTAATTAATAGTTATTTAGTTACAGTACATGAAGCTCTAGAGCGCACCATTCCTAACTATTCTTGAATTTTAGTGAAATATGGCTCACATCAATGTCAGTGTTGGTCACCAGCTGTGTGGCGATGTCTTTGCAGCCCTGCCGGCGGGCTTCGGAGGGCACATCTGCATCGCTGTACCATTTACGGCTGACTGAATGCGCATACGCAGCAGCCGGCGACGCGTGCTGGACTCTGGTGGTGGTCACGATGCCAACAGACTTTCCTTAAGATGCACAGACACACATGCATTAGCACATTTATCCTGCATGACAAAGCAATGATGCACTAGGATGAAAGAAGTTAAAGGAAATAATGATTAATGGTAAATGGACAATAGTAGTGTACAAATAGTATGTGTCTGTCAGTAAAGTGTAAACAGCATCTTATTATTTACTTTTAAAGCTAACTGCTTTTTACATGGTAAACAGAATGTATCTTATATTCAGCTGAAAGCAGAAGTGTACATACACTAATAAAGGAACATAAGCATTTTTAAAAATGTCTGATGGTAAATCTCTAAACGTTTACTATTTTAGGATTTCCTAAATGATTTACATTTGCTCAATGTCAGAATAATGAGAGAATTGTTTATTAATTTTCTAGACAGTCAAAAGTTTACACACATTTCCTTGGTATTTTTGCTTTGCTTTTAAACTGTAAAACTGTGGTCAGATGTTTTGCGTCTCCTTCCACAAGCTTCTCACAATAGTTTGCAGGAGTTTTGGCCCATTCCTCCTGCAGAATTGCTGTAACTGAGTCAGATTTGTAGGCTGTCTTGCTCACACAAGCTTTCTCAACTCTGCCCACACATTCTCTATAGGATTGAGATCAGGGCTTTGTGATGGCCACTCCAAAACATTCCCTCTGTTGTCTTTAAAGCACATTTAAACTAATTTGGCAGTGTGCTTAGGGTCATGGTCTGTCTGGAAGAGTCATTTGTGGCCGAGTGTAATGTCCTGGCTGATGTGTTGAGATGTTGCTTCAGTATTTCTCCATGATGTTCTGTCTTCATGATGCCATCTATGCTGTGAAGTGGACCAGTCCCTCCTGCAGCAAAACAGCCCCACAACATGACGCTGCCGCCCCCATACTGCACAGTTGGGATGGTGTTCTAGGCTTGTTCCCCTTTGTCCTCCACATGTAACACTGTTCATTATGGCCAAACAGTTCAATCTCAGCTCCATCAGAGCACAGGACATGTCTCCACACATTACTCTTTTCCCAGTGTCATTCAGCAAACTGTAATCTGGCTTTGTTGTTGATTCTGGCTTGTTGATTTTCTCATGTTGTCACTCAAGGAAGCAGTGTGTTTGAGCTTCTCCTTCAATACTATTCTACAGTTGTGCCTCACATTAACTCAAATGTTGTCAATCAGCCAATCAGAAACTTCCAAAACCTCAACACCATCATCTGAGCTTTACATTTAAGCATATTATATTATATTATATTATATTATATTATATTATATTATATTATATTATATTATATTATATTATATTATATTTAAGCTTTACTATACAGCATTCATCTGCAGCCTGTTATCTGCCAATGTTGGTGAATGTAGTATTAAATCTCTAGGAGGAGACTAACACAGATCAGAGGCCGGAATTGTAATACGCTGAAGTCGGATAACAGTATTTTGGCTTTCTCAGGACAACATGATAAAACAAATGCCAAATACAACTCCTACAAAACAAAGAAACCCAAAGAAAAGTGAGAAACAGAACTCCACTTGACCTGTGCGTTACTCTCTCTGCAGGAGCAATGGAAAAATCCCTGCTTGCATGTGTGTAGGTGTGAAAATGGAAAATACCTTGTGCTTTGGCGCGGTGCAGCACTGAGAAAACCTCATTGCCAAATGTTGTGTTGCACTCGTAGGCCACTGCTTTGGCACTCAAGCCCACCGTCTTGGCATTAGCCTTCACTCCGCAGTGATACGCTGTAGCTGTGCTAGCGCTGTCCGCGACCTGCTTGTCCACACAATATGTCTGTTTGGAAGCACACCAGATTACTCAGTTAGCAGATTATTGACTTTTATAGTTAAAAGCGGGTTTTTTACTCTATAAATCGGTCCATACAGTCATTATAGTCATGCCATATATAGATATGGACTCCACACTCCCTCATGTGTGCTTTTATAGGGCAGTACTATCTAAACCAGGGGTCTCAACTTTGTGGAGGGCCGCAGCTCTGCACAGCTTTGCTCCAAGCTTAATCAAACACAGCTGATCCGACTAATCAAGGTGTTCAGACTCTTTTCAATCAGTCGATCAGCTGTGTTTGATTAGGAGTTTAGCAAAACTGCAGAGCTGCGGCCCTCCAGGAATCCAGTTTGAGACTCATTTCTCAACCACGTTCCTGGAGGGCCACCAGCACTGCATGTTTAGTCATCTCCTTTGTCCATCACACCCATTACAGGTCTTTTAGTATGTGCTAACGAGCTGATGATCTGATCTGGTTAAGGAGAAATGGAAAAGGAGCTGGTGGTCCTCCAGGAACGTGGTTGAGAAACACTGATCTAAACAATGTGTAATCTGCGAAAAAGAAGAAATTTATTTATAATACAGTATTATTCTCCTGTAATTAAATGGACTGGTGTTAGTTATTTCCAATAGTATGTGTCTACAGACTTGCATATGCAATCTCAGACATGCAGTCTCAAACACATGCACTCAGAGCTAGTGACATCATTGTGAGGGCTGGGGTTAGTTGTATGCACTAAGAGCATTCACACACAGAATAAAACATCAATTAAGGAATAATTGGCAGTTTAATTATAGGATTATAATGCACAACTGAGGTGATAATACATCCATGATGGACTGGCTCCTGCACTTCAGGTGATCTGCATTATTTTCTGACAATTCTAGAGCTACTGGTGCATTATATCTGCAGCTACTGTTCAGGTGCTGTGCAGTATCTCAGACATTCGTCACTTTTCCTCAAACTGCTCCTGTGTGTTTGTCTAGTTTCTCACACATCTCCTCCAAAGCCTTCTGTTGTGTTTTGATGGGATTTTTGACTGTTGTAGCTGTGAAATACCTGAAATCATTTAGCGCAGTGATATGTAGCTGTAATACAATCAAAACCTGCTGGTGCTATTTTACCTGTGTGTTTATCTGAAACTTACCAAACACCTTAGAATGATTGTCAGGCAATCAGAGTCAAGCAATCAACAGATATATAATATAAATATTGTAATATAATATATATAATAGAATATATAATAATATAATAAAATATATAATAAAATAAAAATATTAAAATATAATATAATAAAATAAAATATAATAGAAAATATAATAAAATATAATAAAATATAATATAATATAATAATAAATAAAATATAATATAATAATAATAACATAATAAAATAAAATATAATATATTATAAAAAATATTAAAATAAAATATAGAATAAATATAATATGATGATATAATATAATATATTATAATATAATATAAAATATATAATAATATAATAATATAATATAATATGATATAATATTGTAAAATATAATAAAATATAAAATATAATATAATATAGTAAAAAAATAATAAAATATAATGTAATATAAAATATAATATAACAATATAATATAATATAAAATGTAATATAGTAAAATACAATAAAATATAATATAACAATAAAATTTAATATAATATAAAAATACAATATAATATTATAAAATATATAATATATTCGTCTCTTATCATTTGGGACATATTTAAAAAAAGCAAACAATTATTCAAAGGAGGGCGAATAATTGTGCCTTCAACTACATGTATTCATGCAGAACTCCAAACTTGGTGTCATACCCGCACACCAAGGCTAATAATGTTAAGTAGAGTTCATCTGATTAGGTCAGTGATAAAACAGGGTGAGAAAAACAAGGATCCTCCGACCTTTGACAGGGCGAGATATGGAAACGTGTCCATGGCCAGAATTGTCTCCTCCCCGGACTGTCCTTCCATCTGACCCCGCAGGATACGAGCGGCTGAAACCGTGGACACTCCCATTCCTGACAGATGGACAGATAAACCTCACTGTCACACACACATCAGCCTGACCCGCAGGCCGAAAAACAGATATGACCTCCACACTAAAAATTATCGAGCAGTAATTATTAAATCTGTTAAAGACACACTAAAAAACTGCTCATTACCAAACCCATAACATGCATGACAACTTGGAAATCAGAAGATAAAGAGACGTGAAATATTACACCGTTATTACTAGACTGCAGTAAAGTTAAGACACAAACTCCAGTGGAAACTTAAAGCAATTGTTCACAAAAAAATGAAAAATCTGTCATCTGTCCATCTGTCAAGGAACGTAAATTCACGTTTTTTACCACAACGGACCGGTACATCAACCGATGCACCAATCGGCCTGTCAATCTCACGCTCCATGCTTCCCTCACTCGTGAACAAAACCCCAAGATACTTGAACTCCTCCACCTGGGGTAAGGACTTTCCTTCAACCTGGAGATGGCAGACCACCTTTTTCTGGTGGAGCGTGAATGTTTTTTGAGCACAATTAAGTGCACACAGCATGCCATATCATCTGATAATTGCAGGAAATAATTCCAAAAGGCGACTGACTCTGTAAAGCCACATAAAACAACACAAAAATACAACGAATATGCCGAGTTCAGCAGCTAATCAGCCGGAATCAGCTGAGGTGAAGTGATGACCAGTGAGACCTAACTGTCACTCCAGTGGCCACGCCCTTAATTATGCAGACTCGTTCTTTGTACCAGGCTGTAAACGCCCATTTTTCTGTTCTAAAGTCATTCTAGCAGTGAGCTCATTAGACATTTGCTCCATATAGTGGAACTATAAGGACTAGTGGAATTTCAATGAATTGCAGTTTTAGTTACTTCTGTATTGGCTTCCCAAGGGAGAGCAGGAGAATGCCGCTTGTTTTACGCTGCAGATGCCGTTCCAACCGCAACCCAATACTGGGAAACACCCATACACTCTCTTTTACACTCATACACTACGGACAATTTAGTTGATCAATTCCCCTATAGCGCATGTGTTTGGACTCTGGGGGAAACCGGAGCACCCGGGGGAAACGCATGCCAACACGGGGAGAACATGCAAACTCCAAACAGAAACACCAACTGACCCAGCTCTTACTGTGAGGCAATCATGTTATCCACTGTGCCACCGTGCTGTCCTGTACAAACTTATGTTGCACTAAATTAAATGTACAGGCATAGTTCACCCAAACTCGAACATATACTTGCTATTTACTACGCGGTTATAAACATTTAGGAGTTTCTTCCTTCTGTTGAAGACTTCCATAGTAGGAAAAACTACTACAGGAGTCAATGGGTGCAGGTTTCCAGCAAGTAAATGATACAAGCTGAGACTGCATCGCTCAGTGTCAGACACAGTGCACTCAGTGGAGCTAGTGATGTCACTATGAGGGGTGGGGTTAGGTGAGTGCATTCAAAAGCATTGGATACAGCTCAGATTGCACTGCTCAAATGATGACAGAAAATACTGCTAAAAATGTGTGATAGTCATACTGTTAATGGATTTTCTTTATATAAAAAAAAGCTAAAACACCTGGGGTAAAATGTAAAAAATACAGGCCTCCACACAATCTCTTCATGTTGTCATAAAACAACTTAAGTTAACTTAAAAAATTAAAGTAGATTTAGCAATAATAAATTAGTTGTCCCTCAAACATCTCAAGAATTGTGTTTGAACTCATTTTAAATAGTTAGTACACAATAATTAAGTACACATTTTAATGCACACTGAAACAAAATGATGTCAGCAAAACTGTTGCAAACAATTTTTTGTGTTGAATTTAAACAAATTTAATTTAATAAAACTCTATTTAATTTGTTTGTTTAAATTCAGCCCAAATATTTTTTTAAAGCCACTTAACGTAAAACAAAAATGTAGTAAATCCAAGGAATCATCTCTGAATACATTTTTTCAGTGACAAAAAAAGTCTTGATTTTTAAAAAACACCTTTTGACTCAAATATGGAAGTCATCTCTGCCTACATCTGGTACTACAGTAAAAAAGCAGCGCAGTCTCAGTTAAGCATGTAAAGTCGTCTTCATCACTCACCATCACCAACGAAGAGGATGATGTTTTTGGCTCGGTTGACTCTGAGAGGCAGTGTGAGGGCCGTCTGCAGCGTCCGTCTGGCCTGATCATTCCAGTATGCGGGATCCTTCTCCCATTCAGCTGCACAGCAAACACACACCAGCCCATAAACATCTCAGGAACAGCTGCTGAAACTCTTCTGAACCCTCCACCACCAAGAAGAAAACCTGCCCGGACTTGAGCTAAACTACACTCAACTCCGACATTTAAAGGGACAGTTCAGCCGAAAATGAACATTTACTCACCATCTACTCAACTAATTACAAGCTTTTAGGAGTTTCTTACTTCTGTCAAACACAAATGAAGATATTTTGAAGAATGATCAACCATGGTACGAAAAAAGAGATTATAACAGAACTTACTTTGTGTTCAAAGTAAATGAGGGTGAGTAAATAATGACCGAATATTATTATTATTGTTATTATTGGAGTGAACTGTCCCTTTAACCCACAACACCTACTCGCAAGAGCCTGGAGGTTACCTGTGTGCCCACCGAGAGCTAATTCTGGACAATAGGAGCGCTGTGTGCTTACCCGCGGAGTCCAGACTGCAGCTGGTGTTCAGGACGAGGGCCAACAGGAGGAGAAGAAGCGCTCCGGGGGCCCGACCGTAAACCAAACACATCCCGAGCCTCTGAGAAAGAGAAGCACACACCTCGACGGCTGGAAGGAGTGTCTCCAAAACCTCCAACCCCTGCCTTTTAAAGCCAGTGTGTGTGTGTGTGTGTGTGTGTGTGTGTGTGTTTCAGTCTCGGGCCCCCAGAAATCTCATAGGCTCACCGGGACCACACAGGGTCAGGAAACCCCTCGAGTTTTTCTCAAAATCTGCCGTATTTGTTTTCAGACTTTTCTTCCCAGCTGTGCTCCTGTTAATCGAATGTGTACTTTGATGTGGAGAAAAGTGCGCTAATGTCTGCTTTCTCTCATTCAATGCACATTAGATTTATAATGGTTAGTAGATGACATCCTTTTCATACAGTGGATGAATGGTGCTCAGAGAATACACCGAGGTTATGTTATTGAGAACTTTTAAAAATGAATCCAGCGGGTGTGAAAGTGAAATATCTGGATTCTACATATGTCAATGGTAATGTTTTTAAAGACTTAAATACACAATACTAATATATATATATATATATACATAAACACACCGACCACTTTATTAGTGGTTAGTTATTACCTTCAGAACTGCCTTAATCCTTCATGGCAGAGATTCAGCAAGCTACTGGAAATATTCCTCAGAGATTTTGCTCCATGTTGTCATGATAGCATCACACAGTTGCTGCAGATTTGTCGGCTGCACATCCATGATGCCAATCTCCCGTTCCACCACATCCCAAAGCTGCTCTATTGGATTGAGCTCTGGTGACTGTGGAGGCCATTTGAGTACAGTGAACTCATCGTCATGTTCAAGAAACCAGTCTGAGATGATTGAGCTTTATGACATGCTGCGTTATCCTGCTGGAAGTAGCCATCAGAAGATGGAGACACTGTGCTCATAAAGGGATGGACATGGTCAGCAGCAATACTCAGGTAGGCTGTGGCGTTGATGCTCCCAAAGAAAATCTCCCCCACACCATTACACCACCACCACCAGCCTGAACCGCTGATACAAGGCAGGATGATCCATGCTTTCATGTTGTTGAGGCCAAATTGTGAGCCGAGCATCTGAATGTGTCAGCAGAAATGGAGACTCATCAGAGCAGCAACGTTTCTCCAATCTTCTATTGTCCAGTTTTGGTGAGTCTGTGTGAATTGTTGCCTCAGTTTCCTGTTCTTAGCTGACAGGAGCGGCACCCGGTGTGCTCTTCTGCTGCTGTAGCCCATCCGCCTCAAGGTTGGACGTGTTGTGTGTTCAGAGATGCTCTTCTGCAGAGCTCGCTTGTAACGAGTGCTTATTTGAGTTACTGTTGCCTTTCTATCAGCTGGAACCAGTCTGGCCATTCTCCTCTGACCTTATCAACAAGGCATTTGCGCTCACAGAACTGCCGCTCACTGGAGATTTCCTCTTTGTCGGAGCATTCTCTGTAAACCCTAGAGATGGTTGTGTGTGAAAATCCCAGTAGATCAGCAGTTTCTGAAATACTCAGAGCAGCCCGTCTGGCAGCAACAACCATGCCACGTTCAAAGTCTCTTAAATCTCCTTTCTTCCTCATTTTGATGCTCACTCTGAAGTTCAGAAGATCGTCTTGACCATGTCTACATGCCTAAATACATTGAGCTGCTGCCGTGTGATTGGCTGATTTGAAATGTGCGTTAACAAGCAGTTGGACAGGTGTACCTAATAAAGTGGCCGGTGAGTGACTGTCGGTGTGGGTTATGGAAAGGTGGTTAGGCACTGGTCGATCAGTGCTTTTGAAAACACTATTACGCCCCATTCACAGTCGGTCAGTCGATAACGACTTCAGGTGGATTTACATGAAAACTCTAATTCGAGATCTGAAAAAACGTACACAGCGGCCTCTTGTGGATTTGCGAAAACAAAAATATTTCTATTTACTCTCCTTCAAGTGTTTGCAACCCCTAATAAGTGTTTGTTTTTCTGTTGAACACTACAGAAGATTTTTTGATGAAAGCTGAAAACCTGTAATTTTGTAGGAAAAACTAATGGAGGTCAGTGTTTCCAACATTCTTCAAAATATCCTCTTTAGTGTTCAACAGCAGAAAGAAGCAAGTAAAGGTTGAGTAAATGAAGTACTCCTCTTAAAAGTATCCTCCAGTGCACCTCTTTTTTCCCCAAGGGTAGAAGCAGATATCAATGCCTGAAGCAGTATCTTACAGTGTTTACATATGCAGCATGAACAATGAAGTGGAAGCAGAGAGTCACGCAGAGTTTCTCAAACAAGTCAAGACGAGGAGGAAGAGCATGTTATTAAATCCTGAGGAGGCAAACAGTGTTTAGTTGTTCACAGTTGCTAAGGAACGTCCGATATTGCTGTTTATGCTGTGTATATCAGCCATATTATAAAGGTTTCCCACTGTCAATTAATATTAGCAAAATATGAAGAGCTCATTCACAAAGCCTGAGTTTTTATAGTCACACTATTGTCAGGAGCATTTTCGCTTTTAGCAAATAATTATCCAAGACTTTAGGCATTATTGTACTAGTATCTGGTAAATTACTGTGTACTCTCAGCATCAAGTGGGATAATTTGGTACAGTGCAATAGAGTACCGTATGTATTCATCACGTGGGCAGCAAGGTAGCATAGTGGTTGGCACTGTCACCTCAAAGCAAGAAGGTCACTAGTTTGAGCCTTGCCTGGGTCAGTCGTTGTTTGTGTGTGGAGTTTGCATGTTCTCCCCGTGTTGGTGTGGTTTCCCGTACAGTCCAAACACATGCACTATAGGGAAATTGATCAACTAAACTGGCCTAGTGTATGAGTGTTTAAATGAGTGTGTGAGTGTTTCCCGGAGATGGGTTGCAGCTGGAAGGGCATTTGTGCTTAAAACATATGTAGGATAAGTTGGCGGTTCATTCCGCTGTGGCCACCCCTGATTACTAAAGGGACTAAGCCAAAGGAAAATAAATGAATGAATCTATTACATTATACTAACCTGTTCTCTGTTAAACATAATAAAACAGTTCACAGGATTAGGCTAATTAATTGTCTTCAATAGTGTATTATACATATTAAACCCAGATTCTATTCATAAACTGTAGACTATAACAGAGAAAAGAATGAAGAAAAATCCTGAAGAAAATAATGTCTTATTTATTTTATAGTAGACAGTATTTCTGTTGCAGTCTGAAAGTTTGCTCATATTCTCAGAAATAATGGGACAAAATCTGTCCCTGGGGTGGCACCCTTCTGTTCCTAACAGCCACGTATTAATACCAAAATGTACAAATGTGTATCTTATAGTACCTTAAAGTTACAAAAGTGAACCCTAAAGGTATTAATATTCAGCTATACTGTACCTGATGAAAGGTACACCCCAGTGACATATGTTGTGCCTTTATTCCTGAGTGTGTAGTCACAACATCACCTATAAATATTATTGTTAAAGGCTGCAACCATTTGTTAAGCAGCGCTATCATTCATGTTACAGCAGTCGTCATTGTTTCATGAAAACAGAAAGCGCATTACAGTCGATGCGTTTTACTAGTAATTGATGGTTTGCTGACTAACTCTGCTCCGCTGAATTGTTTTGTGGGAAATAAAGCTAAGCAGGATTTTTCTTCAGTGAGGTAGTGGAGAATTAATGCTGTAAAAACAGAGAGAGAAGGAGAGAGCTGAAGGAGTCTGAAAGCGTTTCTAGACTATATTCATTCTGTTGATGAGGCTTAAAGAGCATCTCGACTGCACTGAATAAAGCCAAACTACTGTATCTGCCATTCAAAGAACATTTTCATGTTTGATTAAGTTGAAGATTTGCTATAAAGCAAAAACCAACCGCCTAGGAAAAATGAAAAGCATTAGTTTATGATGTGGTAGTATTCATTCATTCATTCATTGATGAATTCATTGATTTCTTTTTGGCTTAGTCCCTTTATTACTCTGGGGTCACCACAGCGGAATGAACCACCAACTTATCCAGCATATGCTTACGCAGCGGATGCCCTTCCAGTTGCAACCCATAACTGGGAAACATCCATACACACTCATACACTACAGACAATGTAACCTACCCAATTCACCTGTACAGCATGTGTTTGGACTTTGGGGGAAACCAGAGCACCTGGAGGAAACCCACGCCAACACGGCAAACTCCACACAGAAACACCAACTGAACCAGCCAGGGCTCGATCCAGTGACCTTCTTGCTGTGAGGCGGACATGCTACCCACTGTGCCACCGCGTCACCCTCTCATAGTATTTTTATGTTAAAGTCCGCATGAACCAGAAGCTGCGACTGTTTTTTTTTTTTTTTTCCATATTGTGACGCAGTTCCAAGAGAAACAGAATATGAAATGAGAAACAGTGGGCGTGGCTTGTTTTTGGAACTGCGAGCTGATTGGCTGTAGTGAAGTGGGCATTTCATTCAGAAAGATCAGGAAAGGGGTTTGTGGGCTTATTTTGTGCCGGACCCGGCACCTCATTTTTACCCATCCCCCTCCTCACAAGCACCCCCGCCCTTCACACCACCCCTATCCCCCCACTCTTTACTGTCGTCCACTACACCTTCATCTGTGTGGAGTTTGCATGTTCTCCCTGCGTTCGCGTGGGTCAAGGTTTCCCCCACAGCCCAAACACATGCGCTATAGAGGAATTGGGTACGCTAAACTGTCTGTATTGAATGAGTGTGTATGGGGGTTTCCCATTGATGGGTTGCAGCTGGAAGGGCATCTGCTGCGTAAAACATATGCTGGATAAGTTGGCGGTTCATTCGGCTGTGGAAAATGAAACATCAAATCGAGCATTTTTAATCTTGATTTAATTTCATTTTAAAGTTTGAACCTAAGCTCAATCATTCTTTAAATTTGAGCTGTAACACTACGAGAAGCTGATTCAGGACAAGATATTAAACAGTCAGGCTCATTTGTGGCAAATCAAGCAGCTTATAAACGCATAAAACACGAAGCGATGAGCAAAATACCAGCAGAGAAACTCAACCCTGGGCTAGCGCAGACACGTCAGGCCATTGTTATGGTAGGCAGCACTTTTAAGAGCTGAACTTGAGATTAAGCTAATAATGAGCTGCGGTGAGACTGAAAGCTCTATTTGGGACTGTTTTTCC